GTTGTTACGCCTTGAAGTGTGAATTATGAGATGATAGGTTGATGATAATAGATGAAGAGACAATCACAAATATGACCATGTCTACGCAGGCACACACGGCACACACGACGGTTGCCGCAACCGTTTGCGCCACAGGGCCGACTTTCATCTATTTATATGTAAATATTTTGCTTTTCTTATTAGAATAAATTCTGTTCCCTACTTATAAGTACACTGCGAGGAGAGTGGTGATCCTACCCCCGCTAGAACGTGAGATCCGCCACCAACCTACTCGTTCGCCGCTTGCGAGGGGTTTCCTGTCTTCATGTTCCTCTCCCGGTGTCTCAGCATCTCCCTCACCTTCCAACTGGTCTCCCAACTTTTGCTAATGTAGTGCACGTACGAAATTGTATACACAGTGGGAACAACTTAGTGATAACACCCCTTGTATCCTCTCAGCCGTGCAAGATACGAAGACAAGCCGTTCGGACTGTCGAGACAAAAAACAGGGGCTCAGTCAACTTTATTTTATTTTTTTGAATGGAACCTTGCGTTAAATTTTAGCGTATCGCAGCGGGCTTAAAAAGACGATTTCAAACCTGTGTATATTTTTGTATTTAAGCGAATGATATTTTAGAAATTGATGTGTATTTGTAACGTATTTTTCCACTGAAGCGGCGATTTTCCATTCAGTCTTTCCTGCTAACTAAACGGGGAACTTCGTCAGTCCGTCCTTCAGTCAGACGGGCTCATTTATTTCAGCACAATTCGGCTACTTTCTTTGATATTAATTTTGCCGCAAGATGACTCCGTCCAAGGAAGACTCAAATGCTGCATACAGGATTCTTGTATGTGACGGTTAGTTACAAACAATGTATGACTAATAAGGTATTGTTAATTCATTTTCGTATTATTTACCTAAAATTTATAATAGAATATGATGTCAGAGTTGTCAAAATAACAATAGTATTTAAGAGACGAAGCAAGAACTTTCCGGAAATCTATATGGAGCATTTTAGTCATCCTGCGACGAGGTCATCTTTTGGTAAAATTGTTACTGTGCTCAGTTAAATGAGCCCGTTTGTCTGAAGGAGGGCTCGCGAAGTTTCCCATTTTGTTGGTCTTAGCCGGTCTGGAGTCGTTCTAGAAAGCTATATGGAAATTCTCCATTCGAATCTTAACAGAATTAGAACAATATCCGGTCTAAACGGACGTCATTTTCGTATCTGATTGAATATGGGTTCGAACATTTACGAAGATATATGATACAAAAACGTTGGCTCTGACATAATAATTGACATCGACTGATTGAGTAGTCGAACAAGATCCCAACGATTACCTTCCATTAATACTTCAAATTAAACTAAATAAGAACTATGCTACAACAATCGGAACATTATACTGTTAGTTTTAACAATCTTTATTTCTTTATTTAGCTATAAAATAAAAAAGAAAATAGTTAATGCCGGGAACTACTTCTTAAAATGAGAGATTGGGCACGTAGGAAGGGAGTTCTTGCCGTAAATTGCCCGCAATTACATTTTACCCTCCATTCATTCTAAATGGATCGACTGGTGATCATTTCACATTACGGAACCCGTAGCCTCGTAATAAGAGCAAACGCGGATGCTTCCCTCCTTTGGGTCTCAAATGCCGCGGCCTGTGAAGCTGTGGTGAATCGAATCAGATTATTTTATTGATTGATTGCTTGTTAATGATTCCGGGCGCGACAACTAATAGGGTCATTACTCCCGTACGTGTAGTGGATGTGTTTTCCTCGGGAGGTGACTGTTCCCCCCCCCCAGCGAGATCCGGCACCGACCCAAGTCAGCTTGCGAGGATTTTCACCAACCAGATACCTCCCACCAGCGGGGCACTGCATCAGCCCGGACAAGTTCGAAGGAAAGGAGAAGGAAAAGGAAGGAAAAGTCTCCCGCGGTCCGTGGCCCGTTTGTTAGGATACTGCTCCGGCGATCGCCAGGTGTTGATCGGAGAAACCACTTTGGAAACTACCGTTGAGTGCAGCCGGCCGCTAGAATTCTCCTCCAGACAGCGACGGAATACGACCTAGCCATGTAGCTAGTGTCGAAAATCCTGTCACAGTCGGAACTCCAAGGGATCGAATGAGACGCTGATCGAAGAGGGGAGAGTTGTGGAGTAATGACTAATTCGCACTACGTCCACCGCTGGAGGTGGGGGGAGGTCGATCTCTGGCCAGACCACGTGGAATTTGTGGTGTACAAAGCGAGCTCCCGACAAGTGTTTCTGAGTTCTCCCAATTTTCCCTGCCTCTATCCCACCATTGCTTCAGCATTATCATCGTTATCATATTTGTTTAATCAGAAAAATCACTCATGAGATTCAGTGACCACAGGTCAACTGTAATTAACACAAAAGATCGCACACGGGAAGATATAAACTATTAAAATCTTAAGTGTACAAATTATATTGTGATTGTGTGTGAGGTATTATAAAGTCTTATAAGGCCAGATTTTAAGGAAGGAATAGGATGGCGTTGACCTCCTTAGTAGGGTTTGCCCTTCTCCGCTTCTAAGGATTTTTTTTTGTTTGTTTTTTGTTTTGGTAGATACGTCGCTGGCGAAATTGGAGGAATTTATGGACTATTTCTGACTTCAAACGATTGTGATACAATGATAGATACTAAAAATTCCACTGGAAGTGTAATTGCTTTTAGATTCATTTAAATTCATGATTTACTCACAAGAAACTTGTAATCAATATTCATTGTAATTCTTCAGGCAAGAAAACCGTTCACCGTTTGTGACGAACATGCAGTTCAACTAGACCAACTCCCGCTTTCAAAAGTATGTATCGGAACATAAAGCATTTTTGATCGAACTGCGATGACCTTCAGTGCCTGCGCAAGGCGGCACGACGATAGCAACGCGATCTAAAAAGTTTTATGATCCAATAAATACCTCGTATGCAGGTACTGCTTTTTCTACTGACAAAACATAAACATCATGTCAGTTCGTGTTGTCCATTATTGGGAAATAGAAAATAGTACTGACAATGAAATTACCGATATTCATTTCTGTCAGAAAAATCACGAAGGCTTTTTCGCAGATGGAGTTCCGAATGAATGTATGTAATTCTAGAGATTTATGTTCTTTTATGTATCGTTTAAACGGAAAATTAAGGAATAAATGATTACAAAGGGAAAGAAAAAAGTACTTGAATGATAATATCCTACGTACAGAACGACATGCTGATCAGATATACGTAAAAAAATAGTTTGACAACGTTTTAGAATGGATCATTCCTTCATCAGGGCTTACTAGATTTAATTCCAACTCAACTCGCATAAGTGGTTGTTTCTCATCCCACATTCTCCCTCCATTGACCGACAGATCCACACCACACCCACAGTCAAAATGTAGTCACGTAGTCAAGATGTAGAGATGTAGGTCATTGGATAGAAGACTGGCAAGGAATTATCTTTACAATAAGTGAATGACGCTAGTCGATTAAACAAGAAGTCCAAAAATAAATTCGGAGTATAAATGAAGGAAGAATGGGGGAGGGGGAATTGACATTCATTTAAAAGGATTTACTGATGCTTTGAGCAAGGAGCTGTACGTAACGAGCTGTGTTGGCAGCTAATGCCACTTGCAGCCTATTCGCATGAGTTACGCGCGGATGTGGCGACACGCCTGCACTTAAAAGCAAACTTGCCACCCCACTTCCGGTTTGTAAGTCATTACTTCATCGCGTAAACTCGTTCATTGTAACCTTCGATGGTTGCACCCATGAAGGTATTGCTTGCTATCTAATGTTCTCTCCTTTCAAGTGGAATACGTATTCGACAGAGCAAACTACAGGAACGATAAGGAACAAGACATAGGAAGTTATCAAGGCATATTTAAATTAACAAAAAATACGTAGATAAAACATACAATGATATCCACCAGATGACATCTATCAATGGCAATGTTGCATGATCTTCGCTGTCCGGGTGACGCCTCGTCGAAAGCTGTGTTACCGACGTTTCAACCATCTTGTCGTGGTCTTCCTCAGGGCTGGTACGCGCAAGGCAGCCGCGCATACCAGTCCTGAAGAAGACCACGACAAGATGGTTTAAACGTCGGCAATACAGCCTTCGACGCGGCGTCACCCGCACAGCATATGACTCTGGCCGCGGAAGCCTACGACTTCAATCAATGGCAATGTTATTTTCCTGTCATTGACCTCACTCCCAGATAGAGTCTAGACCTACTAGGTATCTAAGGTGGTACGTGCACGAACGCCTTAGGCATCCATTGTGTGTTGCGGAGCACTGGCGTTGGAGCGGACTGTAGCATCCCTCCGCCCTTCAGTTTGCTTGCAGCGAACCCGAGCGCTCCTGTGCCTGCGTGGACGAATGGGCCACTTGTGTTTTCATCAGTGTCATTATATTATATCATTACATTATTATAGTAGATATTATATTGTGTCATTGCTATATTATTTTCATGAATTTACTTATTTTTAGTATTTTAAATATGTCAATACAACCTTCTGCAAATTTCACCAGTGTGTATACGATGCCTTCTATTTTCAGTAATTTCCTACCATTATCAAGTCCTGGGCATTCAAGAATAATATGGGGTGAACCATCACATTTAGGGGGGTTCACGTAGAGGGTTCCTAAGTTTGTGGGTTCAAACCCTTTCGAAGCCATGGATTTATGAGGGTGAAAAAAATCCTTCGTACGCCTTCCTTCGGGGGGAAGTAAAGCTGGATGCCCCATGTTATAGATTAACTGCATGCAAAAGATCCTCAAGCCTAAAAGAAGCCTCTGAGCTCAACTTCACTCCCCTTTTTCGTTTCCGATTGATTCCCTCTTTCTCCAGTAGATGGTGAAAAGAGGAAGTGGAATTTACGTGGTCAGACGGACGAGCAGGCCTGATGGCCTGAGCCTCCCCACGTAAAATAAGTCCTCATTGGTTGCTGTGTTGTATAACGTTGCTAAGTGTGGCATTGCGTGTGCGCAGAGTGCCAGTCCGGCGGCAAGGAGGCCGATGCTGGGGCTGCGCCACCTGGTGATGGCGCGGCGCAGGCCGGGCTGGGGCGCGGCGCCGAGCGGCCGCCAGGCTTCCGCACGTGCCTGGCGCGCCGCGCCCGCCGCGCGCCGCGCCGACCGGGACCGCGACGCGCACGTGGCGGCCTTCGCGCTCTACGAGCTGGCGTGCTGCTCAGCCGGGACCCGCAGGTCGGACCGGCCCCCCCCCGCCCCCCTCCGGCGGCGCGGAGGCATCGACTGGTGTCGCTGCGGAAGGTCCTACGCCCACACTCCTCCAGACGGTGGCAGCAGATTCGACACTGGCTGGTTAGCTAGGTCGATTCAGTCGCTGTCCGGAGGGGAATTCTACTGCTGCGACTGTTCTGCACGATAGTTTTCCGTGGTTCCTCCGATCAACACCAGCCGAATGCTGGAGCAGGTCCCTCACAAACGGGCCACGGACCGATCACGAGCTTTCCTTCCCTGTCCTTGTCCTGTTCTCGTAGGGTGGGGTGGGTTGTGATTGATTTGATTGACCGATTGGTTAGTTCATGTTATCGGGCAGACCATTCGGAAGCTGCTTTGGTCATTAGTTCCACGAGTGTGGTTATTCACGGAAGAAGACGGTGTTCTTCCCCCATTAGATCCGTTACCGACCTACACACACACACACACATATATATATATATATATACATGCACCAAAATACGACTCATTCGGGAGACCGGTCGGAAGCTTAGAGCTTGCCCAGACTGGGGCGGCACCCCGTGGGTGTGAATTCGCTTTATGGGGATTACCTCAGAAGTCGGCGTCTAGGTCGGCACTGAATCTCTCAAACGACGAACACGGCTACCTCCCGTGATAAACCTTGCACTACACTAACGGGATTAATGATCACAGCAGCTGACGGGTTCGGAAGCGCGAAATAACTAATCGGTCAATCATTCGCGACCCGACCCATCCGGGCTGTGTGTTTCTGCCCGTCCACTAGAATAGATAGAACCCTCGAAGCAGACTCACCCAAGATACCGAGCGAGCATGGCTTGCTCCGATTGTAAATCTCACACTTTGGTTTCAGTGTTCGACAATGGAGTAGATTGTCAACTCGGCGGCAGTTTATTGACAACCGGCATAAGCCAGGCTCGCGATCCGTGTTCGCTCATTTTTTTTCTGATGCAGTGATTATCCGCTTTTCAGACCAGATATATACACGTTAGTCACAAATCGTACAATTCACTATGTTTTAATTTAGATGGTGGGAGAGTCGCCTCAGGGACCCTCTTCAATCATCCAGCAGTAGATATTTGTTTCTCTCTTTGCAGTCACTTAAAAAAACATTTTATATATTAAAGAAGGAATGAAAGAGTTATTGTCTTAGTGGTTTAGTGTTGGCGAAATTTGTTCTTGAGAAGTCTGGAGCTGGTTCTTGTTTGTTGAGGGTCAGATGATTTACCTAGTTCAAAAATGTTTTGGGGGAAAATTAGGTGTTTTCGAGTCGAACTTTATGAGATGTTGGAAATACGTTCGGATATTGTTGGGGTAATTGAGGTAATTATGAATTTAGTTCGAAACATACCAGGGTGCATTTTCTTCACTTCTCAAGGCTTTTTTTTTAATTGTCAAGTTTAATGGCTGAACATGATGCGCCACCCCAGACTGGCAAGCGTAACTTATAAAGGGACGAAATAGGGCTTTGTGAAGGGAAGACTTTCTATTGCGTTCGCTCGTGTACGACATGTCAGGTCCCTCAACTAACACACGTTCAAGGTAGGTGACTGCATTACCCCTATGCGGGTAAATACAATGTCCTCTGGCCACAACCCTGAACACAAAAGAAAGTCGGTCGCCTCTTGATTTTTTGCAGGACACAAGTCGTTGTTTGACTATAAGGAGACGGTTAAAAATGTGTCACGTAGATGTAAGCGAAGGTTCAGAGAGGAATCGACTCGAGTACAACGATCGGCTTTGCATTCCTTTGCATGCTAAAGCAATTACAACATCAATATCCCGGTCACCGCGCTCGACATATGCGAGTTAGTATTCCTGGAGCATTACACAATGGTCACAACTCCCAAGCGCCAATTTTCCTGCTCGCGAGCGCTCGCCACAGCGGCTGTTCATTAGACCTACTTTTGAATATGGGTATTATTCATTTAAATAATTTTTTGAAATCACTCTTTTGAATGAATTTACTAATAAAAACCGTCGATTGGCTTTAACAGATCGACGTTTTATAATTATATTAATTTCGTGACGATCATAACCAACAAACAAAACACAAACTAACTAGGTTCAAAATATTCGAAGGAACACTCCCTTAGTATGGTATGGCGATAATAACAGAAAATATGAAGATATAAAATAAGAGATACTGAGAGAAAATTTAAATTTCGAAACAGAATTACAGCAAAATAAATTTGTTATATTCATTGATCAGTCAGGAATCTCCGGCTGTTGGAATTCGTAGAGAAAGGTTCAAATGCAAGTGACTGGTCTGGTCGGTTTCGTGCTCGTTCATGTTGCCTCGATCTAATACGCGCGAGAAAACGTTGAAACGCCCTAGTTATTTACAGAGGCAAGAATGAAACTGGAGGATACGTTATCGTGATTTGACAGTTTCTTGTTCAACAATTCAGATACTGGGCAACCGCAATTGAACAAGCGATATACAGAAGCAAATAACTCGATATTTTGAGATGTCACTCCGAATGTTCGTTAAATTAGATAAAATATAAAATAAATGAAATAGTAAAAGAATAGAATATTCGGGAACTACTTATATTTCATTGTTTTCTTTTATTTTCAATCTACATCCGATTAAAATGTACGTTCAAATTGTATGACTAAATAACATTTAGACATCTGGTCTAGTTAAAAGGATCTGAAGGGATTCAGCTGCGTTAATCTCCAATCAATACATTCAATCCATACATATCAAATATTCCTAGCTTATCCTTACAAAATGTTGCAAGCTTACAAACGAGCTTAGGTATAAAACTGCACAATTTCACCGTTTCCAAGTGGTAAACAGCCTGCTTCCTACAAAGAGTACTGCGAGATGAAAAAAAAGCAAATAAAGAACATCGAATTTAAGATGAATAAAATGTGTAAGTACATTCTAAATAACAAAACATTTTCGGAAGCAGTTCTGCAGTGCATCGTATAATCGCTTAAAACGCGCGTATTTAATTTGACACAATCGCAAAGATACATATGAACAAACCTGTATATCAGCAATGTGTCTCATGTTAAAAATGTTTCCCTGAAGACTACTTGAGATATAAAGAACAGGTCAAGGATAGCGAAGTGACTCGAACTTTCGGAAACACTGGTGGAAGGTCGCGTAGTTGCGTATAGCTTCTATGAAATTCTGTTGTCAAAGTTAAAAGGTTGATGTAGTCAATGACGCTACTCGAAAAATTTCCTGGTCGGATCGTTCGATTCTGCATTGTAGTGGAATGTTAATTTCTTAAACAAGCTAAACAGACTCCCAAAAATAAATGCGGAACGGCGTGGCGGCACTTTTAAAAATAGCAGTTCGCCTGTTTTTGTCTTTTCTTATATCCCCAAAAAATCATGGTATATTTTCCCATAAAATTGAATCACGTCAGAACGCCATTAGTTATTCAGGTCGGAATCTTATCAGGACCACTTTGCCGAGCCAGAAAAAAATAAATATGAAAACTATTCTCAAGCTCTGTTAAAAATGCAAAAGACTGAAGAAATACACTCGATGATATGCAAGAAATTATTTATTTTACATATTGTGAGAAATACTTAAGCTTGTACTTCACATAAGCACAACGACTCGTTTTCATTTCCTTGCAATGGGCCTTCCAAATGTTTGATTTCCAGTGAAAGATTCAACTGAACTTGACCTTGTTTCCAGTAATTCATTCACTTTTCCCTCTTTAGCCCTCGTTTATTTATTTATTTCCGTGTTTTAACGAAAGGTGCTCTCATGAGTTGAGGCCGCAGCTATCGTGTCATGCAGTTGTGTTGATACACGCGTCTCGAAGGGCTAATTACGTGTGGCTATATTATTCGTAATTAGGAGCGGAATTAGTAATATCGGTTTCGTGACAAGAGATGTACGAAGTACCACTGTATTGTTAAGGATAATGTTTCAAAATTGATAAAACTTTTCTTGTGGAAGGTTTCCACAGTCGATGTACTCGAGTAGTACTGAATAGAACTATGAATGCATCTTGAGTTTTGTTTGTCAATGCCGATGCCTTTACAATTCCAATGACCTATTGTTCAATTGAGACGTGGTAATAAAGAAACTATGCGGAATAAGATTCTTACAATTAGAATATTTCCATGATAAACGTTTCTTGATTATTTCTATCCAGCAGTGACAATGCATGTTACGAAAGCCAAAGAATGAATTGCCCGCGTGAAGTTTACGGCGATTCAGAATTGTTTTCCGAACTTTGAATGAGGGCTCCGTTAGGTTATGGTAATTTGTGCATGATCCTGTTCTTGCAAAATCGTAAGCGCATTCTCGCCAGCAAAGTCAAACGACGCACCCCGTGATACAAAAACTTCAATACACCACTCCTACCCAGGGCTACGAAGAAGAAACCGGCTTTTCCGAAGTGACGACCTTGGGGAAAAGACGAAAGTAAGACTCGCTATTTCATAATTCCGTCAACATTATCGTGCGCTAGCCGTCTCACGTACCTTGTGCATATACGAGTATGTATTATCGGGCGGCAACCACTAATTTCATGTTAATGTACGCAAAACTGTTTCTTGATCATCTTACCCTTCGTTTCGCCCGTATAATACTTCCTTGATAATCTCGAACCGTCGGCCAAATTTTCACGTCTTTTCGCAGCAATGGCACGAAAAGGATAACGAAAACCCCACCTCCAGAGGAGTCCGACGGCAATTTTGAATCAACCTGTATATGTCTAAGCAGGTCATTCTATATGCATCCCATCTACATTATATGTTAACGTGCAGCATGGAAGTAATCAACATTACCGATTGTTTCTTTTGCCTCAAGCTTTTCAAGGGCTTGTCAACGGGGTTCGTGCCGTAGCAATTCAGACCTCCCAAGAACTTGACACGGTAATGGAGTTTACAAAGTGCTTGGATTCTTCTTAGTGGCGATCGATAAACTGCCATTCGTGTGAAGAGCCGTGGAAACTAAAGAGCTGTTAAACGTAATGACTGAAATGGAACAGTTTCCAACGCAAACTAACGAGAAAGTCCGTCTCCTTGCCATTGATGATACGTGTCGCAAGCGGAACTCCATTGCCCACTTCACTTCCGCCTGCGGGGCTCGCGGCAGGAAGACGAGAGGAAACCACACAAAACCGCATACTTCTTTCGCGTACGAATTCTGCGCTAGAAAATTGCAGTCTAGAAATTTCAATCGGAATCATTCAACACAGAGTAGTACTTCGTACTGAAACGTATGGAATCCTGTGTACATAATATATCATGTGGAAAACATTCAAGGAGAAACATATAAAAAGCGTATTACTTCGAGCGATACAAATACTTTTAAAATTTTTTTAAAATTTATTTTCTGTAAAAGAAGGGAAGATGCAGTGCAGACGGAACATGCGTAAGCCTAACCCTTGAAGTGCAGAAGAACAATTATTAATTTCTGTTCGGCAAAAATTGTCGAAAATGAAGGTTTCGGGTGTAAACATGATAATCCACGCGCAAACGTTTGCGATATATAAGCAAGTGAATATTTTTACTGTAAGGGATTCAAATGAGGTACATAAAGATGACAACAGCCGGAGGACAACTAATTTGGACTATTTGGGAATCACAGCGCATGGACAGAAGATGCAAGCGCACGAAAATTTTATTTATTTACTTTTTCCTAGGGTTTTTATCCCGCCGACTGCCAGTTTCCCTTTACGTCCCGAAGGGACTCATATTCGACAATATACTAGACACCAACACATTTGCGGGCTCCTCTGCTCTGGGGCCAGCAGAACGCGAGGCCCTGCGCGACAACACATCCTCGTACATGAGAGGCAAGGGTCAAACAACCATGCCCAAGCCGGGTCTCCGAACCCGCGACCCTCGGACCGACGCACTGAGACGGTTCATGCTCTTAGCTACTTCGACTGACCAGGTCGGCCCTTCAATTTCTTTACATTAACGTATATAACTCGTAATAATTGTATATTTACATTTAATTCTGCGCTTTAAAAGAACGCGCATTCCGGTGTACAAGAATTTCAATCTGAAACAGCAAAATAGCGTTTGGAAATCTGCCAGCCAAAATTTCAGTTTAGGCCTTCTATTGCTTCTGGGTTCGATTTCTTTCATAATTTTTGTCTGCTAGAAATGAAGTTGGTTGATTCCGATTACATCAAAGTACTGAAACGTTTTCCCGATTGACAAGAAATAATAGTAAAGGCAAATATAATAATGATATGTTTATTAATAACATAGAATGAAGTATGAGCGTCTACCAATGGATCTACACGCAAATCATGAAAATCTTGGCGCTATCAAATGTTTCTGAAGGAATGTTTATGAAGATGCCCTCATCCCTCAGTCAAAAAAATCTCTCCAGTTGTAATACTGTTTTGAGTCAACCTTAAAAGAAATTTATATTGAATTGTAATACATTTGGTATGTGAAAATTATTTGAAAGAAGATTACTTGCATGGATAACCTTGACGCTCTCTCTAATTTCGTCAGACACGAGACGCAACTGCGCCCCCTCGATTGTCGTGGGGAGGCGTCCATGACGGGGGTCGCGAGATAATTTCACATGGCCGGGTGCATATTTTATGAAACCACCATGTAATTTTGATTAGAACTAGTAAGGAAAAATGTACATGTATGTGTTTCTCGTACAATGAGATTTAGAGTATCTTAGCTTACTCTTCCTAAATTTTCTTCTCTCCCTCGATCAAAAGTTCAGTTTGTCTCCTGCAAAAATATATAATGTTTTCACGGGTGAAATGAAAAAAGCTATTTCTGAATAACATGTTCGTGAATGTACCGTACGGAAAAAAATAGTAAGACGCCAATTGCCAATATTTTTTAAAATGTTTCTTTCCTTTTTATTTATTGCCATTGCCATAAACGATTGACTCATGCAAAAAAGAAGCAGCCTTGCTTCATCAATTCTTGTCAGAGTGGTTGTAGAAGTTGCTTTTAGAATGACTCGTCAAGTTATATGGACAACATATTTCCTCCTGCAAGTCCGAAAAAAAACAGCAACATTTTTCAAATGTAATAACGCGAAATTTATTTCTTACAATACGGCACTACTTGCGTAATTTATTTCGAAACCGTTTTGATAGAAAGGAATTCACATTTGCTTACTGTTAAGAATGAACAATAGTAAAAAATATAGAAACGTTAGAAAAATATCAAATTAATAAAATATTTTCTTGTTTGTAATAAATAAAAATATCAAAATTAACTAATTTGAAACAAACTTCAGAGTGAATTCATCTTTATCAAACATTGTAATTGCTTATCGGTTATTTCAAATTATTCAAAGATGCCTATTCTTATACTTTCCTTCCTGTATGCGAATTACGTACAATTATTCTGGACTTATTGAACATAATTTTTTTAACTTTATCTCATTACCGAGAGCAAAATATTCATATTTTTATATGCTTCTTTATCACAACTGAGAACATATTGTAATAAATGGCATATAATTTACGTAACATAATGTGCAGATTGCTCATTTTCAAACGTTCTCGATTGTAGTACGAATTCTCGACGCTTCAGTTGTAAAGTTACGCGTGTTGGAGCAAGAAGGCCAGGTCAAAAGAACCTTCATGGTTTGTACATGCGTCAGGTCGAGCCCCTACGAAAGATTAAAGTAGGACGGGGACATAGCCTTTATTATTTTCGTTGCCGTGACACTCCAGCTGAAGTCCCTTGTATCTACACATGTATTTAGTCATGCTTTGTGATAAGAAATAGTTAACATTTTTTTCGACATACTAAGTATACTTATATTATCTTTTCAGCGAAGAAAGAAAAGTGAAAAGCAAAATAACGGTTTCGCAATTTCAAAACTCATATCCTCGCTTCTCTTTGTAACAATATAATTCAATTTTTAATAGAACCCCGACTGTTTGCCGTACGTGCACCTTCGAAGGTTCGGTTCATTGTAAAGTTCATTGCAGATTTTCTGTTGAATACACGTAAATCAAGTATCAGGTAATGATACAATCACTGAAGCAAAATCAGCCATTCTACAATGTATATTCAGGCATCATGTAAATCATTTTTAAGTAAAGCTGCGCTTTGGAGATCCATTTTAGATAGTTGTCAATGACCGCCCGTGGATTGAGCACATTTTAAACGGCGAATTACAGAACTTAAAAATTATTTTTTTCAATAATTTTGAAAGGTTATATTTTTAGAACGCATTGAAGTAATACTTCCAAATATGCGCGTTTTTCTTGAATATGTAAAAATTATACCTGGAAATATGGATAATTGAATAGGTTTGAAATCATCTCAAAAAGTCCAATCCGTTAACATACGATAAAGGTCTGCTCGTAACTAATGAACAAACAATATGTAATTGCTTACAAATCCTAGCCCTGCACATTATCTTTCAACAAGTTGCTCTTGGTATTGAGGTCTTCTGAAGTTATTTTATGAAACCTTCAAATAACACGTATTTTTTAAATTTTTTTTAAGAAAATGAATCTCCAAGTCACCAATTTGACCAAGATTTTGTTCTACCTACCGCATGTGCGAAGCGGATTCCAAATCACCAATAAGTCACGAGTTTTTCTGCAGCGACTGTGTCTTCTATCCACTCCATTCCGTCACTAAATGAAGTAACGTGGCCGACTGAGCTTGCTCCGAGGTATAAACTCTCGCTCATTTCAATTTTTTTGATTTTCTTATACGTAAAAATTACGAGAAACAATAATTTAAATCAACGTATTTTAGACCTCTTAATATCCTGTCGGGAGAAAGGTTTTGCGCAGCCTAATAGTTACTTGGAGTAAAATCACTTCGGATGGGTCGATTCTCGCTGCGCTAGCGTCAACCTGACGTGGAACTGCGAATCGGGAGCCTCGTCAGTCCACGAAAGCCCAGCGCGCGTGAATCGAATTCCGTTTTCTTGTTCTGTTGCAGACGCTGGATGAAGGGCGCCAACTGCTGCGGCGCGCGCAGAGCGCGTACAAGGCCTATGACTTCGAGAACCGCCTGAGCGTACGCATTCACGCGGCCCTGCGGCGCTGCGGCTAATCCGGCCCCCGTCGCCACCGCCACCGCGCGCGCCGCCCTGGCCACGGCCCCACGCAGTGCCTCATCAAAGCCCGCGCGCCGCCCGCGGAGCCACTCACACGTAGAGTAGGGATGCCACATCGATGGCGACGCTTTCAAAACATCCATGTTTTTACAACAACTTCGATGGATTTCACATCCATTTTTTTAAAGCCGTTGTTTTTTCGTCGTTGATATTTCATTTTTGGAATGAAAAAGAGTATCATAACAAAAACCTTTAATAGATTAATTGAATAGTCTTCAGACGAAAGTGACCAAGGATGAAATATTACTTAATTCCAGATTTCGTCGGTACAAGTTCATATAATATTTGAATTATCCCATCACATAGTATTTTGTTGTTAAATATTCTGATCATTTTGGGACTGTTCTTGCCAGTTAAATCTCAATAAAAGCAACCACCGTCAAATTAAATCCTCACCCCCACGTAAACATGGTCACTAACGCAGATTTTTAAAAAATCGATGGTTTTAGGGCGACACAGTTGTTCAGAAACAGCGATGTTTTGTTGGCGGTGTCGCATCCCTAACGTAGCGTCCAGGGTCGGATGGAGGCATTGAGACTGGGTCACGCCCACTTGGGAGACCTCCATACGCACGTTCATTCATTAAAATACAGATACGGGAGATTCCGGGTGACGTAGCCGTGCACACTGGATGACTCATGAATGAGGAGCGGAAACGGGCTGGTCCAGAAAGCATTACGGGTGGGGGTGGGGGTCGGTAAGGAGCTTCCATAAATATTTTTGAGTAATATTTTTTTAATTGTTAGCTTGACATTTTTTTAAATGTACATTAATTATGAGAATATTATGGATCTGATGAGATCTATATTCGGTTACCATGTTCAGTAATTTGGAGAAAATTACAACAACAAAAAAATGTTGGTTTAGGGAGGGAGGGATGTACCCGTGGCCCACACTCGCACCCGTTACTGGAAGGAAAAGTGATTGTATAAATTCGTAACACTCTAATCAAATATTATTGGAAGTCTCTCTTTTTTCGGATCCTCATAGCACTTAGAGCCAGCTCAAGGGCCTGCAATGTCTCAATCCGACCCTAATAGTCAGCCGCAGCCGCAACGTCCAGTAGCAACTCCAGCGGGGCAAATAGGAGCACCCCTCAGACGTACCGAGCATCCTAGATCATAGCATCGAACCTATTCTGTTTCGTAGCGCCACGTTGATAATTGTTTCCTTCAGATATTTTATCCCGTTCCTCTACCTTCATTTGGATGTTGAAACCCCGAATCATACACAAGAGCGGTCGTCATTACGTAGAGGTATTTATAATAGCAATGAACCTCGCGTATATTTAGTTTATGATACACATACGTCCAGTAATAAAATTTTTCATACAACACATATGCGAAAAAGCAATCTTTCTTAAACAATTCTATCAAAAATCACGGCTTGTTCAAGATATCTGGTATTTTCTCTACGCCTCGTGACAATAAATATCCATTATTTCGCGAATCCCGAAGTCCATGAAAGTATATTACTTGAAAAATTTTTGTTACTCGTCAGTGGAAAGCAATTTTTTTCAGTTATTGGTTCGATACTTTGTAGCTTTTGCGCATGCTAGTCCCCCCACGCGGAATTTCTGTAGAGGACTCCGTCCTCACGGCCAAAGACTCGGCGGACGACGATAGCACTGTTAGATGATACCATAATTACAAGTAAACCGCACTACTCGCGTTATATACGTTTCCTCGTCCATTTAAAGAGCAAGTACAAAATCAGTTTCTCACACGTTCGCGCGGTTTATGTGCAAACGCACTGTAGCGCAACAATAAATGATGGACCCTTATACGATTCGTTGGGACGATCAGGCGAGGTATGCAGGGATTAGCGTAATGAGCACTGTTTTCGTGAAGGTTAGCGGCACCAAGGTCATAAAAATCGGGGGCCGAAATTTGAAGTCTCGCGTCGCAATGTGCTTACGTAACTCGTACCAAGCAAATTTCGCGGCATTTCTATTGATGACCCGTCCTCTCCTATCGTAATTGTTATAATAGTATTACGTGGAAATGCTCGAAAAATGCTATATATTGCCCATCTCCTTATGAACAATTCTCCACCATAGAAGTAGCGATGCGTATATGAATTAATCATTTCCTTATTTTCTCTGTCCCTCCCTGCAATAATAACTGTTATGCATCAATGTATAAACCTGCAGGGCTCAATGTTTCCATTTGTACAGCATTTAGCAACGTTGTTGAAATATCCTGTTTCCTAATGGCAGTCTTTATATTTGTGTATTGTTGTTGCCATGTTATTTGTAATAATGTACTGCCTTTCTTCAATTGTAACAGAAATAATATTGTAGAATTTCCACTTGCAAGTTAAAAGTACAAATATACTATTTACAGGACATTATGCTTTATATAATTTACAGCACCCTTCCTAGAGCATGCAAGTTTTGATAATTCACATCTCAAAGAGAGCATACCCAGTGCAAGGATTTGGCAAAGAAATAGGAGGCAGGGCCACAAGGAGGTAAATTGCAGCAGTACATCAAGTATAAATTACAGTATATTTTCATAAATTAAATGGTATTATCAGTGGATGATGTAGTTTATTTACTCAACTTCACTTTAATCAGAATGGCTCTGAATTTCTAAACCACAATCAACTAACCAAAGTTAACAGTGACTCAGTTTATGAAACATTCAAAACTCTGTGTAAGGCCATTGAGTGAATATATGGTGATGCTGTCCCAGCCTGCTACAGACTACAGCTAGCATAATGTTGAGAATCATGAACAATTGAACACTACCTACAATGTCATAAAATATAAAAAATAGTACATGATACGGAATTTTTTTTCATTTTGATTTTTTTTCATACATTAGTTGATACTTAAATACCTTTTTACAGTTCATTTCAACTCATAATCGTGTCCTTTCAAGATGAGTAAAAGGTATGCACCTGTGAAAAATGTCTAAAGGCAATTTGTTTCAGAGAATGGCAATGTCAGATATTACTTGCTCTACATAAAAACAAGGACGCCCCCAGAAACATCCCCTACTTAATCAGTCTATAGGTCAGGCTACAGGAAGGGACCCAAGGCATGCAGGTAGTGGGGCCCATCCCTCCCAGTCGGTAAGGGCACCGCAGCAGGCCAGGTGCTTGGAAACAGTCGAGGGTTTGTGCAGCTATCCCCAAGAGAGAGACAAAAAGAATTGGCATAAACCACAGAAAGCAAACAGAAATAAGCCTGAGCACTTAGGTTGAATGCCAGAACAGAACAGCCCCCAAAGTTCCCAACCCAGCAGGGAACCGCAGGAGCAGTCCCATCCCAAGCACTATTCAATAAATTTAAGTTATTTGGGAATGTCAAAGCTGGGGTGTTCAGCCATTATTATTGCAGATGGGTGGGGTACCCTAAGCAGGCTGTGCATCAGATCATGCACTCGTATGTTCAGTTGGCTTATTATGATTTGTATGTTTGTACTCGAGGGCAGCAACTGCATCAAGTGATTACCATCAGCACACAGATATTCGATCACTCTACACAACACACAATACTCAACATTTCTACAGAGGGTCAGTTTTGCTCGGGAGTCTACTGGGTGGCAACTCTGCTAACCAGAACTGCACACGCATTGCGGCTCCCTGCAGCCCGGGCCAGCAGTGATTCACGAACACTGAGGGCTGTATGCTCGGTCTGAAGGCACAGCAGGGATCTCTCTCACTCAACTTCTGCATCTTGAACACTGGCCCTGAGGGGGAGTGGGTAAGGGCTCTCACCTCCGCACTCTCCAGACCAGCTATGAAAAGGCTAATTTCTGTTTTGGAGAAGTGCAAGACCACAGGCTTTGTTTGGCAAGCATGATATGGTTCACTTATCATTAAAATCAAAGTCTTCACCAGTGAACAATCTGTATAAAAATATTTTTGCACATTGAATTCTCATGGAAAATCAGAACATTGAAACAGTCTCTGGAATTTTGAGAATAAAATTGAAGTTTCTAACAGAATATTCATCAATAAACCAAAGAAAATCATACATTTCACTTATTCACAACTGGATTTCCAACTTCAATTCACCTGAGGCAGAGCTTGGGTTTAACACTTCCTAGCACCTGAGCGGGGTGCTGTGCAAACAGCTGTTTATATAAAGATTGGGGAATATTCCTTGAGCCCTCTTGACGCTTTCAAACACACGACCAAAATATACATATCACGCCAGAGCAAGCACAGCTAACAGGTTCCCTACAGCTGCAAACACAAAACGGTGAAAATAAAATCCCACCTCACCCACAAAGATGAACTACTATAGAAATACTACAAGGAGTCCCAGCACTACCTTTGTATTTCACCACAAGATTGGAAAAAAAAAAAAAGAAAAAAAATCTAGTTGCAATTGCAAAGTTTAATTTAGCTTCAAAATATCACACCTTCACCTGGCAAATGTTCGACAGAGCATGGCGAGTTGTTGGTAGAGAGAGCTGTGGGCACTGGGGCAGCTGGACATAAATACAAGTGTGAAGTCCAGATACCCTACCCTCTTGCACATTTACCTTGGAATGTTGAGTATACACAAATGAAAAACCTACTGTAAAATGAAAGAGAAAAGAATCCCCTCATTTTGTCCATAAATTAGGACATTTTTGGTTTGTTAGCATCAGTGTGACACACCATGTCACACATGACCCTTTAAAAGTCTGTAGAAAATCAAAAACAAAAATTACATTAAAAATTATTAACATAAAATTTTTAAATGTCTGCTCCGGTTGTTGTGGGCTCCGTGTATGCACCAGATAAAGAAAAACTGGCTTCTGCACGTCTGCAATGTATAACGGCACTACAAAACTATGTATGAACTATATATGTACTGTACTTACAGCATTGTGAGACTATCAATGGGGTGATATGATAATGAACAAATGGATGAGTGTGTGGCATTTCATAAACAAAACACCGTTAGAGAAAGAAAATTAATTGTTCGAGTTCCCTTCACTGCTAGTACCGGGTACTGAGCATCACTGAATGGTACAATAATCCTTGCGGTAATTTCCACGATACTGCTGTATTAAATTAAAAAAAGAACTTTTTCCAACCATAGTGTAAGAGTGATGACCACTGTCTTACTAGGAGTCAGCAAACATTTCAATAAAAAATACGGTACATCGGTCACTTTTCTTCCTCCTCTTCATCCACTTTTGTCTTCTTGGCGGGGGGCTCCTCCAGACTGCTGCTGGTTTCCTCATCTTCAGCAGGAGCTGCAGGCTCAGCACCACAGCTTGCAGCTGAATCGTTGGTGTTCTCGTCCACTGCTGTTACAGATCCTGGGCCAACGGCACCATTATCTGCTGGTGTGGCTGGTTTGTCCATAGAATCTTCTGTGAACGATGTGGTGTCATCTGCTACACCATCTACCGGATGTTTACCATTAGCAGAATCACGGGTACTCTCGTCTGAGCTCTGCTCCCCATCCTGTTTAATTACAATATAAATAAATAACACATATGTGAAAGCACATTCCAAAATTAGCAAAACATTATAGAGAAAATTGTTAAAGATTTGCAATGAATATTACAAAATAACAAATTTACAAGGCATTCAACTATACTCTGCAATTACCTGTGTCTTAATTTCTGATTCTCCGTTCTTCTGCTCATAATGAGTTGCAGTTCCATTCTCTGCAGGACTTGGGATATTATCGAGTAGATCAGGTTTCAACTCTGAGGCTACATAATGAGTCCACAAGGCCAGTTCCACTTGATGAGGATTCCACGTACCAGTGGAACCATTGGTGCCTGAAACACATTAACAAAATATTTAAAAATGAGCATCTCAATCCAGTATTCTAAAGGTTGCCTAGACCACCTTTGGGTTTTCATAACCTCATCATCAACAAATAGCAACTAATACACTGAATTAATAAACCTTTAGAAAAATTCTGACAATATATTGTTTCAATGAAAAAAAAGTGAAATTTAAGAGATTTAAAAAACAAACAAAAATGTTTAACTTGTCTACCTTCAATAACTTAGAAATCAAACCCTACTTACTCTCTTTATTCAATCTTTCCACAGTTGACTGAATATGCTGAACAAAGTTTAGATATTCCTTGGTAGTGTAGTCAATTCCCTCTATCTCTGGGATAGCCATCAAGCATTCATCAGCCATGAAAGGAGCTTGATCAGGAGCTGCCGCTGCCAGCAGAGCTTCGTACAAAATTTTTAAAGATTAATTGCAAATACAAAAATAAATTTAATTTCAGGGCAAACCAGCACACATCTTATTATGATAAACTTGCAATATTAATTACCTGAGGCCATTGTGGTGCCTACGCCTTTCAGATTGCTGAGGGCTGTGATAGCCTGTTCCAGATTGGGAAGTTTGCGGAAGGCTTTTTTGGTCTCCATCATCACAGCACGCGGTGTATTGACTTTTACCAGGTATGACAGCTGTGGATAAAACTTCCCTCTCTGCCGCAAAGAAAAAAATATTTCATAAAAACAAATATTTTTTATTGTACATACACTTTAATAAACTTTAAGGTAATAAGTATTCAACCAATATCGAAGTGCAATACCAATTTTCTTTCACAAAAATTACTTACAGTTTGTTTCCATTTCATGGTTTGAACTAATTCTTCATGACTTAAGTGGGCATCTTTTCCCCGTGATTTAATCTTTTTTGGTAACTCATTCTGATACCTGTAAAATGGAAAAGTAAACAACAAATGAAATGAATTTTCGTTTATAATAACACGAAATAGTGCTCCTACCGAAGTTTGAAACTACTGAGTATTCAACAATATAATTCCGTACAACAAAAACACTAACAATGAAAATTGTTCCTTTGTTGCACATACTCAACAATTCAATCCGAAAATTATGTGTTCCAAGCGATTACAAGAAAACGAATATATAATTTATCAATTTCGCACATTGTCGACGAATTTCCGGTACACCGACAATACATCTAGATGAAAATGTTTAGTTTGAAAGAGTTAATTGTTTATTTACTGAAAAACTGAAAGCGAATTCAATAAACAGAAATATATTTTCGAAAAATAAAGTGTTTCCCCCTGACACAGGTTTTTTTTAACAAACTTAACTATGTCATGGTTCAGCAGCTTCTGGTTCTCACCAGCCTTATGCCTCCATTTTCTTGCCGAGAATTATTAATATTGATATGTATGCAAAATCTATGCCTCGGTATATTTATTTCCTAATTCAACTACAGTTAAAATGCATTAATGTGGGGTATACTGTTAATTAAAAATGCTTCCTTTTTACTGATTCTTTGTTCAGTCTCCATTTTGGTTTGTTTCATAAACTGTTATCAAGTGGTCGCTATTTCAGATGCAAAAATGGACGAAATATGTGCTCAACACTACAACTGCAAGCCTAATAAGTCGTCTCGACTAGTTTATACCTTAATCGTACTGCATTATGGAAGCGCAATTACGTGTGTTTACCTAAAAAACTCTGTATTAATTTCAAGGCAAACGTCAGCTCCGTAGTCGACATGACGCTACCAACACCCCGTCCCCGGCCACACAGCCGACCAGATTTCTACGGGTATGGTACCGATCGTAAAAATGACTACGGTACGCAAGTTGACATTGATTGCCACGTGACACGGCTGGCATTTAATGACCGCGCTAAAGATCGAGCCGTCCCAGGGAGCAATCCTCGACCGCTAGTCGCTACGTGCAGCGTTACAAAGCAAGGTTCAATGACATTGTTTCCTACATCTCGAGGACGATTTTATGCCTACGTACTCACCAGTTATCCAACTTTATCAGTTCTTCCGGTTTCTTAGTCTTCTTATCAGCACGTAAACGTAAAGCTTGAGGGTATAACTTCAAAACATGCTCAAATTGATTCGAAGTTCCTTTAGCAAAGAAAGTTGCAGTGTCTTTTACGGAAGCCATTGTGATAACTATAGTACACAACTCGCACACAAGAGCGCAGTAGGGTCACTAAACACGCTTTCCGCCCTTAGCCCCTCGAAAATAATTCGTTTCGAAAGAAAATACAGTGATCAGTAGACATGATCGCAATTCGACAACAATAACCTAAGAAAGCGCACATGTTACCTACTGCGGCTCAATTGCTATCGCTCGCGTGCGACGTATGACGAATCAGGTGCGGGGGAGGGAGAGTGACGCAAGTCAAATGCATGCACGTATGCTGCCACAGCTGCGCATTGACCACCACATCCCAAGGGAATAATTAATACCACATCTTTGCAGTAATTTCCTAAAATATCGACAAGCTTTTATTTTGAGAAAATTTGCTCAAAAGTACCTTGTTTTAGCTTAGACCTAATATAATTCATCGAACTATATTTTATGGCTTATTTCCTGGGAATTAACTGTTCAACGATTTATCGTCACGCGAAACCTTCCTACTACTTTAAAGTGTATTAAAAGTTATATTTTATATCTTAATATTTATACAATTAATTATTCTCTTCGTTATAATTATCTTCTCTATCGCGTTTTTATATCGCATGAAATGCCCCGTGGGGATTAGCGCACTGTAGCAATTTGTAAGATTGAACTTTTTGATGCAGGTTTTCTAAACTTACACGGCTAATTTGTCAATCTTTTATTAATTTGCAAACGCATATACACAACATAATATTCTTCAATTATTGTAATTGCGAATCTAATTCTAAGACTTGGGCCACACCTTATTTCAGTGTTGCCCAATGTATCTGTTCTGAGGGTCAATAATAACAACAATGCAGTGCTCAGTGAATACTCACTACAATTCTTCTTGTTATTATTAGTATTTAACTTGCAATTGTTAATTATTAATATAATTAAAGACATTTGAAAAATATACTTAAATAATTTTAATCTAGAGATAACATCTTTCTCAAAAGTTGAAAATAATATTCAGTTAAAATTATATAAAATAACAAAACATTTTACTAAATTTTAAGCTGATTTATTTTTAAAGGAATTCTAACATTTCAATAAGTAAACGGTTTTGTATTTTTTATATATTTATTAAATTAGAGGAATGAAGAATATGGGATGTTCAGGGGAAAATTTTATCATTTAAAAATAAAAAACAATCATAACACGTATAATACATGGCAGGATTTTATTGTGTAATACGAGTATATCAAAATATCATTTGTTTACAACATAGCAGATTTGAATGTTCTCAACCTACCCCACACCTCTAATATACAATGAATACTTGAAGAATCACATGGCAGATATGAATGGCTGAAGGAATTGCCAGAGGTTGCATGTTGAAACTGCAACCAACCTGCTACTTGGCTAGGGGCAAGGTAACAACTAAGAACTTTTAGAGAATATGAGTATATTTAAATATGCAGCTACATAAAAATCAATTTCAAATGCATTCACAATATGCTAAAACAGAATGTTCAATCTTGGTCAAAGCTCTTCTTTATTTTAAAAAATACGTTTTTTATATAAAATTTGTGGCCGGTACATAACTTCTACCGCCGACCAGCACTATCCCTGCAAAAATAAAATTGAATTAATAAACAAAACAACACATTTCAGACTTAATTTAATCCTATACTCTTTTCAGAAGCTAAATCCAATTATATTTTTTTGTTCCTGAATTTATACCCCTAACAATCCTACTAATGTTTTTGTATTCTTTTGTAATATTATATTGAAATTCCCAACTTACAAAAACAAATACGAAAATGTAAATAAAGAAAATAAAAAATAAAAAATCTCAATGTGAAATGAATTACGAAGAAGATAACAAAATGTACTAAGAAATAAACGTAATAAAGTGGTCAACCTGCTTCTTTTGTTTTTGTTTTGACTTTTTATAATAAAATCAGTCTCGTAACTAAGCAAAAGAAAATTTATTGAACTGTTGAGAATGTAGACTGCCTTTCTAAGAACAAAAGACATAAAAATTAGATTGCAAGAACATTTTTCCTTTTATGTATATACTTAAAAGAAAAGTTTGCATTATAAACTCCATCTTTGTATATCATTTATATTACTTAAATGTATGTTGGCAAACACTTTCTGTTCTTTTTTTCATCATAATTAAATAAAAGAAAGACATTCTCAAAAACTTCAATGATACATTTGTAGATTAAAGAAGGGCAGAAGTGCATAAGGTTGTGTCCCTAATATGAATAAAAGGAAAACTGAAGATGCAGTAAAATATACGTAATGCATTTGGTTGTGGTAATGTGTGGATATATAGGGAGCATTATGGACTTCCCAGAAAATGGCTAACATGAATAAAGGGATAGGGAATATTTCTCATAGTAAGGTCCCCTTGTACCCTCCCAATGGAAAGCAAGACTAAGGCTGTGCAACTCACCCAGGGCCAGGGTAGTAATAGGGCGGGGGCCGCTCATACTCAGGCCCCAGGTAGCGGGGGGGCGGTGCACCATTCGGCAGGTCCCAGTGCCTAAAACACAACACACAGTTCCAGGAAACAATTCTCATTTCATTACAGTCCCTGGACTAACGAAGTCAGTACCAATTGTTAAAGAATTCTTCCCGGAATGTTATTTTATTTTTAGAGATAAATAAATTATCTTGCACCCTTTTACCATTTCGGTGAACTAATATATGCTAAACCCATTTTTTAAAACTTTGCCAGTGCAATTAGAAGCAATATTCTACCATGCTGCTTTCTTGTTTGTTCTACAAATGAAAAAGTGATGTGCACAAGAAAGATTATTTCCCAATTTCAGCATCATCACAGATGGAGAGGGTGTTAACAATACATGCATATTTGGGTCTTTCACCATTGGACATAAATGTATAATGTAACATGCAAGGCTGTATGTGATCTGAGGATCTTTAACATCTTACTTGGGAGCCATGTCAGAGAAACGAGCATCATGGTCACGGCGTGATGGAAACTCATAAGCTCCGCCTCCCCCAGCAGCATTATCATGGTATCCTTCATGGTAGCGGCGCTGGCCTCTTTTCTTCCCAGCACTATGGGAAAAGAAGAAAAGTGTTGGTCAGTTACAACGAGTGAGTGGCCACAAATTTTTTAATTGAACAACACCTGAGTATTGTTATTTTTTTTCGTACTTCATGACCTTTCCACTATAATTGAACAGAAAGGTTAAAACACATTACAATGAACAAAATTTTAGATTTTTACTTGTAATACTTGCAAGTAGAATGAGCCACTTAAAAAATAATTTGCAAAGAGATTTAGCTGAGAGACTAGTTGCAAGAAGGAACTGCTCTAATTCAGCTAGTTGTTATACTTATTTGAGCAGATACTTTTCAATTCTAAAAACGCATTATTCCTTCACATTAACATGAGAAAAATAAAAAAATAAAAATGAAGTACAAAGGTCAATAATTTCAGCCGTGTAAGTTTGGATGCTGCTAAGAAATTCAATATTTAAAAGTATATTGTTCCTTAATTATACAATTTGTAATTATACAAATAACTATTATTTGTAATTGATACATGCACATATATCAATATTATATATATGTATAAATCAAATTTAATGTTGATGTATTAAAACAAAATATAGTATTGCAAATGTGATCTCCAACTCGTTAATAATCAGGAATCACAAAAATTAAAAGCACCTTTCACATCCCTTATTCTGTATCTGCAATAAACTTCATCTTCTAATTATGCTTGCTATCTAATCAAACATCAGTCATCATATATTCTCCTTAAAAATAATACAGTACCAGATTATAAATCCTGAACAAATGCCGACATTTCCAGTGTTAGTATTCAAGCATAAACTAACAAAACCATGAAACAAAAGGAATTTGGACCCAGGTGCAAACATATTACTAGTAACTTGCCAGTATGTGATTCTCCATTATCTCAAAACAAAAGGACTTTTTCTGATCTCTAATGTTACCAAATTAGTACTCCAGACTATATTGATCATGTGCACAAAAGTTTTCCTAAAAGTACCTTAAAAACAAAAATCTATCAATAAAAAAATGCATAATTTATAAAAACACACAAACAAAAAAACATACGAAAGTGAAATGTGTTTTCCCTCCCTTGCTGTGGCTGGTAAGGCACATGCTTGCTGTTGCTGTTGATCACTCATAATTGGCTGTAGCTGTTCTGCAGGTCCCCCTGCCCTAGAAACATGCTTTCGATTAGTGGAATTCTAGAGAAGATAAGAAACTTTTCAGATGGGAGTACACATGTTTAGGATGTACAAATGAATGGTCTTCATTGAGTATCAGAAGAATTTACAAAACACATGAATGTAGGTTTGGGTTGTTTGGAGAATCTGGCTTCAATAGATTCTTTTGCACTACATCCTTTAAGTTTGTTGTTTGGTTTTTGCACCAAGCTCCAATGTATTCATGTGCAATCTACGTGATTTGGATTCTGTTTTGAGAATTGAATTCACTCAGTAAAATATAGATTTCAAGAGCAGAGGGAGGCAGCCCGCCACAGTGGGCTTACCTGGCTAAGGGGATGTTGTCACGGTCAGAATAGGCATCATACAGGTACTCCCTGGAAATTACACACACCCAATTAGTGGGGCACACCATGGTTGTTACAGGTATCCCAGGCAGCAAACACACTAACATACAAGCACTTCTTTCTACTATGCAATCCATGTGTAAATGCTACATAAGCAAAATCAAGAGAAAATAGGAATTTGAATAAAGACAGATGCAAGGCAAGGAGAAAAAACATTTGGAGTCCGAGATGCATACAGGAGTAACCGGTGAAAGAAAAAACATTGCAGACACATGTGACACTAATACAATTTTAATGTCAAGGCATAACAATTATTACATGGAACATAAAATAATTGCTGTGCCAGGAACATTTTACTTACGCATCAGGACCAGCAGGGATGTACTGATCTGCACGTGGTCTACGGTACTGAGTGGCAAGACAGGTAGCCAATATTAAAGCTGGGATGAACAATACCAGGCACAGACCACATCCTACCCACCAGCCATTCTGTAAAAATCAAGCAAAGGATACAGATATTCATAATAAGAAATAAAAAACAGGTTGATGTTAAATTAAAAATTAAATTCACGAAACTTGTATTACAATCAATAAAATTATGAAAAAAATAGTTTATTTAGGCATTCAAAAACAGGAAAGACATAATCCTTTGTATGAAAATTACCATTTGTTTGTTCTCACTTAATTTAATTCTTTTGGAGATATTACAACATGAAAGAGTTGCCTAATGGAGATGCAAGCACAAATTCTAGAGTGATATTAACTACAATGAAAAAACATAGATAAAAAAAAGTAAGCACAAAATACCATTCTTTTTTATGAATTTTGATTATCATTTCTAAATTTAATGAAACACTGAAACAAAGATGTGTTTTAATTGGTTCACCAGAGTTAATTCTTTCGACTTCACCAGTGTAGAGGATCAAAAAATGAAATTTTATACAAACCACAGGAAGTAGAACTTCATCACACACAGCAACCAAGGATGCATTGACAGCACGAGACAAGGGGGCACAAGCTCCCACAGAGGCTTGCATTAAGTCAACAACACGGTGTAAATGTGCATCCAAACGTTGCATAACTTCATTGGCAAGAGTATTGGCAAGCTGCACAAAAAAAGAAAATTGAAATTATTGAAGCAGAAATACAAAATGTTTAACATCTTTAATTAATGTAGTAGAAGATAATGTAACCATGAAAGGAAATCAAGCTTCAATTAAATATTGCAAAACAACTATATTTTAATTAAATATAAATTACAGTCACAGTTAATTCTTCTTCATTCATGATATTTATTATTAGTAACGAGCGGCATTTACAACATAATATTAGCAACTTCAGCATTGTAACTACAGCAGAGTTCACATTTCAACAAACAATTTACACACACCATTGTCCTACATTAATTGGCACATCCAAGAGGACAAATTCATTCACAAATATTTTTGTCATTCTTTTCACTGATTAATATCTTAGTGACTAAAAGCAACTTTTGAAGACCTTTTTAATTTTTTGAGTGTTCACAAAATTTGAATGGCAAATTCAGATTTTATGCAATAATAATTTATGAACAATATATTGACAAGTTGCATCATTGTTTATTACTGAATATCAAACGGTGTGTCTGGATTATAAAAACTAGTCACATACTGACTGATTAATTCAGCTGTATGAAATGACATGAACCTCTGTATCCATTTCATTACATATTTAAATAACAATAACCAATTCAACCCTTTTAACAATATCCAATTTCAATCGTCATCATCATGAACTGACCAGAAATTAGGGTTGAGTAAAGTATTAAGTTTGATAATTCAAAAAATGTTGGTATATGGACAATGATTTCACCAATTGCCACTAATCAAAAACAGAATAAAACTATGCAAGAGCAAATCATTTTATGTACTTCAATTATTTAAGAAATCCAACTATTTAACGTAAATACTCTGAAACAATGCTGACTTTTTATACTCTTCTATAATAAATATGCACAATCAATTTGAAATGTTTATGCTAAGTTAGAGCTTATAAGTATGGAGGGAAACAAGGGAGAAAGGTAACATTATACATTAATAAGTTATCATCATACAATCAAAGCAATGCAATGGCAAACCACCATTGAGATAAAGTGTACAGAACATTGAAATTGTAAAATTGCAAGCTTCCCTCTCACCAACATAGCAATCCATCAATCTCCATCAATCTTTGGGCTGAGGAGATGGAGATGATGACCACCATGATGATGATGATAATCATCATCATCATCATCATCAAATGACATTTATTAAATATTTTACCAAATATACAAACTAACATTCAGAAACACATTACTCATGTAATTGGATATTTATCTTTTTACTTCTTTGTTTTCATTCTCCTAACGTTGTTCCCAAGAAAAAAAAAGAAAAAGAAACAACAGAAAATCTTTTTTTTGTTATTTAAGGTTGTATCAACTACTAGGTCATTAGCGACTACTATTGCGTGTAACGGTATCGTAACTTTGAGGAAGACATGATATGATGACAGATCCTTTGGTCTGGGATCGCTACTGCACTACTTGTATCTGAGGTAATAAAAATATCCACAAAGACAAACATTTCCACTCTTTGATGGAGTAACATCTCTTAAACCATGAAATGAATCTTATTTTAGGTGGTTTGAACATATTGAATATTAAAATACTCCAGAGCAACAAGCTCATAAAATTTTGAGTCATTACAACAGAACATAACAGTTATCAATTAAACACATTTTTGCTCATACATTTGGAAGTCTTTGCATCATATAAGATGATTCTCTTTTCAAATAAAGAAGAACAAATTGGCTTAATATATATTCTAATAATGCTTGAAGAATGATAACCCCTATAATATTTATTTTATCAAGGAGAAAGGGGGAGAAAATTATATTTCTGACTAAGCAAGGATCGATACAATTAAATTAGTATAGGATCTTGCCAAAGCATTGCAGACACATTGTGGAGCATTTGTTTAGAGCTCACTATTTGTAATGCAAATTAGTACAGTTGATGAGAAGAAAGCAGCGATGAAAAAGGTTAAATTAAATATAAAAATTACAAATCATGACTGTTGTATGTAGAGAGAACCAATTATAATAAAAAATCATATGAGTCGTAGGAAAGATTGAAGAGTTTCTAGGTAAAATACACAATATTCAAATACCAAATGTAAAATTAAAAGGAGCAGTCTCTACTGAATGACATCTACTCTGGCTGCAGATAATTACTCTTGTAAATCTTGTAATCAGTCTTGTTGTCACAAACCTATTTATTGTAGTACTGTTAATAATTATGCAGTCAGTTTAATCTTAATTCATCTTTTTTTTTCAAATCTGGGCACAAAATAATAAATATTACTTAACCTTTAATATCTCAATATAAGAAGACACTCAATGGTTTATAGTAGTAATCCAAAAACATTGCTCAAAAAGAGGATACATTGTTTTTTTAAGTACAATAAAAAATTGTATCATTCATGAAACAAATTATTTTAATGGTTTTGGTTAGCAAAACACATTTACAATTTCCCCTTTCATTACAGTCTATTTAACATTCCAGATTAAAAATATAACAAATACGACTACAGAAGAATTCGACCACTAAGGGATGAGGAATCAAATTTCATAATATTTCAATTTGCTTTCATTCTCTATTAAGTTTGTCCCTACCAGAGAAACCAGCAACTTTAATCCCAAAAGGCAATTTTCTGAAACCAGATTTCTTCCTCTTCCTCAGCTTTTTCTCTTTTTCTTTTTTCTTTTCCCATTTCTTTTCTTTCTTTTTTTATATTTTTCTCTCCCCTCCATCAGATTTGAGTTATCTCGATTAATCCATATGCATTACATATACTCATTGCTCAGAGATAAAAGAGTAACAATATACAGGTCTAATTTATACTCAATTTACATAGGATCATTTAAGCCTCAATTTATATTGTGTTTGGAAAGAATTTTAATAAATAAATTTTGTTTTGAAATAGGAGGAAAATTATTGCACATTAAAAATGAAAAATTATGATAAATCCGTACTGTCATGTTACAAAACAAAAAACAACCAAGAAAAGTTTACTCCTCCTTGTTGACCACTATTCACACCACCATGAACAAGCTGCCAAGTTATAGTCATCATGTACTGTATGTATTATATATACAGTGAGGAGTTGGAAATGCTAAAGAGTAGTAGGGAGGGGGAAACAAACCAAGTGGGGGGGCGGAAACGAACCAAAAAGGGCGGAAACGAACCAAAGGGGGGAACGAACCAAAGGGGCGAAACGAACCAAAAGGGGGCGGAAACGAACCAAAAGGGGCGGAACGACCAAAAGGGGGGCGGAAAGAACTAAAGGGGGCGGAAACGAAACCAAAGGTGCGGAAACGAACCAAGGGGGGGGGGCAATCGAACCAAAGGGGGGGGGTGCATGGCCGATCCCTTGTCAATGGCTGACCTGCACAAGCAGCTGCGACGCGCCCTCGTCGAAGCGGCGCTGCGCGGCCTCCAGCTGTCGCACGGCGGCGTCGGCGGCGAGGCGCGCGTCGCCGAAGCCCAGGCGCAGGCGTCGCGCAGGCGCGCGCCGTGGCGTTGAGCGCGTCCGCCCGGCGGCGCAGCTCGGCCAGCGCGCCGCGCTGCACCCCGCGCAGGTCGTCGGCCAGCTCACGCAGCTCCTTGCGGCGCCGCCGGGCAGGCCGTCGCGCGCGGCACGGCGTCGAGGCGCGCCGCCATGGCCTCGGGGTCGGCGCGCGCCGCCGCCGCCGCCAGCGCCACCGCCGCGTCGCCGGCCGTCTTCGGCCGCCGCGCCCGCGCTGCGCCCAAACTCCACCAGCTGCTGGCGCGCCGCGCCGTCATCAGCTGCACGCGCAGGCCCGTCTCCGGCAGCGCGGAGCGCAGCGCTCCAGCCGCGCGCCGCACCTGCGCAAGCGCACACACGGCCCTTGCCGCTACTCGTCTCCACTCAAATTACACACTCGTTACACGCCGGTTTCAATAAAGAAATATTGCAAACCTCGCTCCAATATTTGGTTTCTTGACCCAGTTTACTATGCACCTTTTCTTGACACTATAAATCAGCAGCGTTCTTTTTCGTTAATTTGACATGTTGGGTTAATTTCGATCACGTTTAAACTATATGCTTTGTGTTCAACGGAATTTTACGAAATTCATTATTTATCTGCACCATTCGTACTGCAATGTTTGTTCAGTTATATTTACTAGAATAATACATTCTTTCAATTCCCCGTTTCCCAAAATATTTTTAAAATCAATCTACATGTTTCTCAAAAAACTATTTCACGCAATAAATTAAAATGTAACACATTATATCTGTACTTAAGAGCAATGAACAGAGTTTTTATGGAAATTCTCTTTAACAACACGAAATAATTAAAAAAAACAGTTATGTGTGCAAAATACCGAAGGTATGGATCAAAATAGGGACAACAAACGAATAAAAACTTAAACAATCAACATGACAAATGTTGTAGGTAACATTTTCTAAAAAAAGGTACTATAAAAATAGGAAATACATCATTGCTGAACACCGTATAGTTGTCATATTAAATGTTGATGTAAAACGCGCTTCTACAGATTCAGGACGACAAGGCATTCCTTTGCAAATACGAGTGCTGATGAGGCACCAGAATTCAACAAGTTGGACATCAATGCACCGACAGACCTGTTTCAGTTAAGACCTCTGATATCTCTTGTTTTTGCACATTCTTCTCCGATCGCCGTTTTGTCGATAAGTAATGTAGTTGACAATACTCATCAATTACGATTAACGATTCGAATTACAGATCCTTTTTTCTTTGTTTATTCTTCTCCTGGAACCTGCCCGAAGTCCTGACAATGGCCCATAAAACCCTCCTCCTTAATTCCGGGTCATGGCTTGCAAATTGCACAATTGCAAGAAATCATTTCCAGAAAGAAAGAAAACTTTCTCAGTATTTGACTGACAAGCGCGTGCATATAAAAGTTTATATTATTTTTTGTCTATTACATCTCCTCTCTCATTTTATTCCTGGAGTATTCAGAATCTGAAGGAATCTAGGAATTCCAAGAAGCGGCATTATGAGAAATTGAATCGCCTTATCCATACAGAGTATATCCATTTCTGTTTGTTTTCGATGTTCTTATGTATCAATATATTGTTATGTAATAATAATAATAATAATTAAATAGATATATATTAATTAATATTATTATATTATTTTATTATTTATTATTATTATTATTTATTAAGACACTGAGGCATCACGTTGCCAAATAATGGATCCAAAAATGGACGTTTCTTCCTGTTTTCCAAATCGATATTCCAACAAATATGTATAGCGCGGGAAATCTGAATGTGAAACATAATTCACGGTCCTGTCCAAAACAATAAGTTGTGTTGAGTATCCCATTCATTATTGCGGAATCGTGACTAATACAGGGGAAACAAAACTGTCTCTGGCGAATTCCGCATTGAAGAAGCGTTGATGTGCCAGGGGAGCGTGTGGTCGCCCTACACCTCTGGCGAGTCCGCGAGCCGGGCAGCTCCTGGGCGTTTGTGTCGGGCGGAGAGCCCGAGCACGGCGTAGGCGCTGCCGTGCGGTGCAGGCGGCGGGGCGTCGGCCAGCGCTTGCCGTCGCGGGGCGGGCCGCCCCCGGCCGCCGGCAGCGCCGCGCGCTCCTCGGGCGGCGCCAGCCACGCGTCCGCCAGCGCCAGCAGCGGCGCCGGCCGCGGCGCGGGCCGCAGCGGCGCGCACACCGCCTGCTGCGCCGCCAGCCCGGCCGCGAAGTGCACGAGCGCAGCCAGCGCCAGCGCCGACCCCAGCAGGAACATGGCGGCCACGGCCAGCATGAGCCAGCGCGCGCCCGTGGCCCGCGCGCAGCAGTCCTCGCCGCCGTACGCGCCCAGCGCGTCCCCGGGCAGCGGCGCCTTGCCGCAGAAGCCGTACAGCAGCCCCAGCGCCAGCAGCAGCACCACCAGCAGCAGCGCCGCGCTCGCGCCGGCGTCCGCGTAGTACCTGAGCACGCGCGCACGCCATTCAACCACCGGAAGATTCAACCGTACGGCCTAGAATACTTGGAAGAAAGAAACACTCCCACTTGGGATCGCTAGATGTTGAAATGGACTTGAGATCAATGGGATTGAGGGGGTGGAGAAGAAAGGCAAAAGAGAGAAGTGAGTAGGCATTCATCGTTCGAGACGCCAAGGCTAAACTTAAAGGGCAGTGGTGTGACACAGAAGAAGAAGATGAAGAAGAAGAAGAAGAAGAAGAAGAAGATGAAAGAGCTTAGTCACGTTCACGAAACTGATGTTCCCTCCCTTTGATGTGTCCTTAAGTCCGACGCGCGCCGGGTAGGGCGAATACCGAATGTTCGGCGCTCAGCGAATTGCAAGCACCCCGTCCACACTACTCGGGATTCAGCGAGCGGTTGCTCAGGATTCGTCGAATGCGGCATGTGTGGAGCCGCCTTCACACGTAGTAAAATACTCCCTCTAACACGTTATGTAGTCACATTTCAGAAATTGGGGGTATTCGATGCTCACCCAACAAACTGCGCATCGATCTTTCGAACACATCAAAGGAAGCAAATATTCGCCGTGGACATTAACTGTTCGGCATTGGGAGAGTTGTCGGTTGCTACTTGCCGAATGCCGAGTGTGGAGAGCCTTCTTTTTTTGTTATTTAAGGTCGCATCAACTACTAGGTCATTAGCGACCACTATTGCGTGTAACGGTATGGTAACTATGAGGATGACACGATATGGTGATGATAGGGGTGTGAAAAGACGAACACAATACAACCGTGCGCAAGGAAGGACTTGAACCCGCGATCCTTCGGTCCGAGATCGTTATGGTCCTACTGCCTTAGCAATCTTCATATTTTCTTCGCGTTGGAAAATATTTTTTCCTATTGTCATGATATAATAACCCTTCTATTTTGCCGCCTTCCGGAAATTATTGTGGAAAGCATGTGGCTACCAACCAATAAGAAATTAAATAACTGCGATTGTATTCAAAACAGTAGAATTTTACATTTTCTGCAATTTGCCCATTCCTTGTAAGATTTATTAAGCTCAATGAGAATATTGCCTCACTGGTATGAATGACTTTCCTTTGAAAATGCTTCCGTCCAACTGGATCGACATGGCCCGAAATAATGGGAGTTGGAAGTTTAAAACCTTTCGAGCATAAACACGTGCCAATTCAAGGAAACATTTTTTAAAAAATTTGTAACCACAAGTTCCAGCAATCTTTAATAGCTTCATCTACTGCACTAAAGGACGATTTTACTAAGGTACACTTGATAACCCCTACCCAACTCGAAACGTGTGCAACTATTTTAAATTCACTTCAACATTCCCAACTAACAATGCCAGATGTTCGACCTTCTTTCTCTTCATTCTTTTTTCGAAGCCGGCCGGAATAAACCGGGCAGAGGCTGTTTACGCGCCCTGAAAGCCGAGCGAAGCACCGGCAGCGCGGGCGGAAGCGGGCCCCTGCCCCACAGCTGCGCACGAGCGGCGCCAAGTAGTAACACAGAACGGGTGATCTAATTTTCGGACGAACGTGCAACTTGGACCCGACCGCTCTATTGCGAAAACGCAACGCACTCAGCGTCGGTGATTGACAACGTGGACGTGTTTTACGACTGTCCAGGAGCAATGAAGACTTACAAAACAAACAAATAAATAAATAAGCCGACTAGATGACCGAGATCGTTAAGTCAAGAGTGCCGTAGCGGTCTCTGACCAGAAAAATCGCGGGTTTGTTATCAATCCCCTCCTCATGCATGGGTGTATTTATGTACGTATGTCTGTATGTGTGTGTTGTCGTCCTTTTGACTCCCATTATCTTTATCATTTTATATTCCACACCCCCAGGGCTAACAACCCTGGAGGATAAAAATCGGATCCAGCTAAAATGCTGATCCTTAGTAAAAAGTTACTAACACCTGCCACAGAGATAATGGTACTGAGCCCCGAGTAATGCTCGCTAATCTGCACGCGTGATTCAAATCGGCCTATTCGCGAGCAAAAATAAATAAATAAATAAATAAAAATTGGACGTCGCTCTGAGTTACTGATACTAAGATAACATGAACCGATTGATAATAATACAGGAAGAATTCTAATTAATGATTATCCAATGAGAAAGATAGCTACTTATATAGTTTACTAGGGGAGAAAAACAACCATTCCCAATAAAATTCACTCTTACCTTCATTCCTGTCATTCCTTTACGAAGAAAAGAAAATGTATTACAATTTAAAATTAGACAATGTCAGGTGCTGTTTCTATAACTTGAAAAAAAGTCCTTGGTTAATGTCTGCTTCTGTTTTTCTCTAAGGATTCCATGAATATCAATACTGAATACGAAATCTTTCTGGTCAGCAACTGAGCTGAGCTGAACACAGCGTCGCAATATTTGTAATGCCTATCACCTTCTAGCTGTTGTTCAATGTTCAGACGATTCCATACTATTGATGTAATTTTCTTTTCTACACACTCATGCTGCGACTTGTGAGCCTGTAGAAGTAACGATTTTACATAAGCCGTCTTGTTTACCCTGGAGATGTAGTAATGCTCTCCACAACAGCCGAAATTCTTTTTCCTTCGGTTTCGGTTGGCGAGTGCACAGGATTTTATTTCGAGAGCAACAAATAGGTTTTATGTCTTTCGCGAGTCGTGTCCTTTGAGGACTCAAAACTAAACATTATGTTAAAGAAAATTAAATTTCGTAAACATGAAACGAATTCTTATCAGAATAAACTTCTCTTAATGATATAATATCAGTTCGGGCTCGGGCACATCATAAGAGTGATAACATAAGCCGAATGATAACAATTACAGTAAGCGGCGTCCATCGAGTTTCTAACGAGAAATCTAAGTTTTCGTCTAGTAAACAAAGGGGTAGGCAACTTCTCATCTGTATATGTTTTCCTTCATCCATTCGTGTATAATTGTTTCCACGCTTTTGTTACACGCGTGTCACGTACCCAGGAATGTGCGTATAATTACGCCCGCAAGCAGAGGAGCACGCATGCATGACAAGCACTCATCCTGCCGCCCACATGCTCCGGCCCCTCCGCACGCCCTCGTGCGAACGCACTCGCACACACCAGCGCACACGTGCACACGTTCATTTAGTGACTGGCTGGCGTTGCGCTCCGGGGTAGGTTGTGTATTCTTTGGCAAGGCAACAGTTCCGTGATGCTGCCAGTCCCCACTTTTCCAATGATGCGAATCTGTTTGGAAATCTTCACAAAGGCTTTATGTCACAGGAACCAAAATACTTGAACGACAAAAGGCGACATCTTAAGTCTATTCAAGGAAATTAAATTAGACGATTAAAAGATTGTTTGTGACGGTAAACCACTAAATTTGGAAAACAAAAGAGGAAAATTATATTTTTTAAAATAATTTTGTCCAGTTTAATTAACATTTCATACATTTTTCATTCGTTCAAGTGTTTGGGAATTGACTAGTTATTCATAAGCTGACAGAATTTTTGCGTGGCGTAAAGCATCTTTGCGCATGTCACTTTTGAGCCACCGCGCATGCGTTAACTCTTAACAAGAAGAGATGCCAGTGACCGCCATTTCTTCGGATTTAGCGGAAGTCTGATATCGAATGCTAATCGATCAGTCATGTTACATGATTTTTTTCCAAGTGTGGTGATTGTGTGTGCTGCGAACTCTATATCCCCATGTAATATAAATTTGGTGATAATATATATTTATAATTATGTGAATACAAATCAAGACATATTTATTTGATAATATAATTACACAAACCAATCAGTGGTTCATCGGTAGCTCTAGTGAATAAATAAGAATCAAGAGGATGTGGCGTTAAGGGAATTTTGGACACCACTGGTCGGAACTACTTCCATTTCCATCTTCCATCTTGTGCAAAACCTCTTTAGACTCAACCCGCCTTTTTGCTGTACGTTACACCACGCAACGTCTTTAATATTCGCTGATGCTAATCTTATCAACTGCATATCTTAAAAAGACCTCTTTGAATCCTGAAGGAATGAGTAGTTAAGGCAATACGAAATTGAAGTAACATGAACTGGAGAAGATATGAAGTGCGTTCTCTGAGACTGAGACGAGGACTACACGAATGTGAGGGACAATAATGAGATACCAAAATGATAAGTAAAGAAAACTATGCAAATAGTAGCAATGGTGAAAAAAGAAAACTGATTGAAAAAACATGTCATCCTAAAAAAAATGAAGCAAGTGCACTAATAGTGGACGAAGGAAAAAGAAAAACGGAAGCGATCAAGAAATTACTAAGAAAATGTGGATGGAGTTAGTGGGTGAACGAGTGAATAAAAAAAAGTGAAATATGAGAAACAAGAGGGCAGAAACGTACGAGGATAAACGGACATGGGGAATGGATGGAACGGAAGCAATGAAGGAAAATGGGAAGTAACAAAACGAGGAAAAAGGTGGAAAGAGAGAGGGTGGGAGGGAGACAGAAAGAGAGAGAGAGAGAGGGTGGGAGGGAGACAGAAAGAGAGAGAGAGGGTGGAGGAACAGAAGAGAGAGAGGGGGGAGAACAGAAGAGAGAGAGAGGGGGTGGAGGAACAGAAGAGAGAGAGAGAGAGGTGGAGGAGACAGAAAGAGAGAGAGGAGGGAGACAGAGAGAGAGAGAGGCAAACAAAGTAAGACGGGAAGAGAGTTGAGAATGAGAGAGAGCAGAGGACAGAGACCAAGCCAGAGAGGGCGTCCGTAGGGTGGCGGGCGAAACGAAGCGAGGCCCAGCGGAAGCCTGTTCAGAGGCGCGCGTCGCTGGACAAAGCCCACCACAACAAAACGCCGCCGCCTCCCCTCCCTCCCCCGCCCGCACTCACTCACCTGTAGCGCGAAGTAGGCGCCAGCGGGGCGTCGAGGTGGCTCGAGCGCCGGGTCGGCGCCGCGCTCGAGCGGCGCGCGACACTTGGCGAGGGCGCGGCCCAGCTCGCCGTCGTAGTCGTCCACGGGCGCGCCCAGTCGTCGAGGGGCGCCGCAGCGGCGGCGCGGCGCGCGCCACGCGTCGTCCACGCGCCGCGCCGCCCCGCAGCTCGTCCTCGCCTGCGCCGCACCGAGCTCTGCGAGTGAGCGGCCGACCAGCCGCCTGCGCCGCGCGCCCGCCTCGCCGCCCGGCCGCGCCTCGCCGCCGCCAGCTGCGGACGCAGACACAACCCATGCACACACATGCTCAATGAATACGATTCTCATAGGTAATACCACCAGGGCTATTCCACCAGCCGCGACTACAACCATAACTCACCACTATGCCACGCAGACATGGATATTCTTAAAGAATATCATTCTTGTAGGTAATACCACCAGAGCTATTCCACCAGCTGCCAGCCGCACACGCGACTTCAACCACAACTTACCACGCAGACACGGATACACTCAATGAATACCATTTTTATAGGAAATACCACCAGGGCTAATCCACGATTGCCGCCAGCCGCACACGCGACTACAACCATAACTCACCACTATGCCACGCAGACACGGATATTCTCAAAGAGTACAATTCTCATATGTAATACCACTAGGGCTATTCCACCAGCCACACACGCGACTACAACCACAACTCGGATACTCGGACTTAACGCAGACACGGATATACTTAAAGAATACAATTCTCATAGGTGGAATACCACCAGGGCTATTCCACGATTGCCGCCAGCCGCACACGCGACTACAACTACAACTCACCACTATGCCACGCAGACACGGGTATTCTTAAAGAATAAAATCCTCATAAGTAATAAATTATCACCAGTGCTTTGGAAATCGTCTACAAATCCCCGACTCGCGGAAGTCAAGAGGGGATTTATCTGAGAATTTCCAAAGCACGAGTGGTATCTGACAGGGCTATTCAACGATTGAAATTATGTCCAATAGAGTTACAAAATGGGCCAAATATTAACATTAACTGAAAGCTATGTTAAAAGCAAAGAGTTTATGTTACAGTACATACGCGCTTTTTTGGATACTGACATAGCGATCGATGTATACCACCTTATAAGATCCGATGGTAATCCAATCCAGGAGGGAGACGCGGTAAGAAAAATCGATAAGCTTTTTCGTAGAAAAAGCGGTAAACGTTTTGAGATTCACCGACCTGATTGTCGCATGTATGTATGCATTTGTGTGTAAAGTTACGCACTATTGGCTTAAATTTCACGAGTGAAACTCTTTATTAAGTTAATAGCAAGTACATTCAAATTGCTAATATAATTCCCATTCAAGTGCGAATGAATTTTTTTCTATGCCTTTAATAGTAACATCAGCGCTCATATCTGTTGCCTTGGAAACATGGCCATCGCAAGTAGGGTGTACAGGGACATGCACCTTCTCCCAATATTTTTCACCCAGTACTTTTCTCTCATTTAATTTTTTTCTATTAATATACGCGACGAACTACCGTAACTGGGCTAATCACTCAACACTAAGTTTCGGGGCAAACGTATAATGGCGCTGCCAATAAGAGCAGCTGCAGCCGCGACAACCACAAGTCAAAGGGGGAAACACACTGCGTCGCACGTCATTGACCCAGAGGGGGCCCAGGTCACAGAGGTGGCCTAAGTGGCTGTGACGCACCGTCTGGGTTTAGAAGGATGCAAGGTCGAATACATCACTGGGTATAGATGAGTTACTCTAAGAAGGGACCACTTTGACAAGCCAGGAAACACATGAAAATCATGGCGACGACATTGCAAGAGATAGCGATGAAACTATTTACAAATGAGCTAACCGTAAGCGTAGGCAATGGCAAAATAAGATCGTAGACATAACCAGCAGTGGTCAAGTAATACGAACTACAAGCTCGTAGCTGTCAAAGCGGTTCATATTATAGTAATATCTCGATACACGGGCTGTATGTGTATTTTTATTGCACAAGTGCGGACAAAGCCCCTTAGGCGGCTCACGAACAGAATGCTATCTTTCGAAGAAGTGGTTCAGCCTTCGATTTCCAGGCGGGGCAAAAATGTCGCTGTATCTAATATAATTCGTCTCAGTTTCTATAGCAGTGTGGCGACAGAAAGCTCACGCTCAAATGCCACCTACATACATGGATGTATAAGGAACCAGGCTAGCAAATACACAACTGTGCAGTCTGAAACTCAATATGTTAGTTTAACAAAGGAAAGGCTAGAACCCCTTCTTGACATTTAAACGCAATGTGCCTCAAGAAATCATACTATGCCAAACACATTGTTTCCTTATACACTCGACGTAACTGTTAAACGTATTGTTTTGAATTTCGCGACATTGCCAGCAAGAATCCACTTTGTTGAGGTTTTCAATTCCGGAAAGCTTTAAATTGTGATACAGCAGATAGCGAAATCCTAAGCAGCATTACAACAGACTCCCAAAAGACAATACCGGAACAGCTTTCCGGTACCCTGATTAGACTGATCAAAACTAAACATTATCATTGTCGCTCTTAAATTTTCGACAGAGAAAATTTCGTGAGATTCCAATTAAATTTACATTACATTATTTTTATGTGGGGGAAACGCGCAAGTCAATTGCATCCATGGACTTGGGGATAGTCATCCCTCGTTACGCGGTGCCAGGAACAGATTAATGACGTGAAGCACGCAAGACGAAACAATGGAGTTTCTGAACAATACTGCAATACTGATTAACTAGCTTTGTGTGGCCTTTCTTACACTTTAAACGGTATTGAAAGTATTTTCTTAAATATTAATTTGAGTTTTGTTTAAAAATATTAGAAGCGTCGGGTAAAAATGGCCGAAAATATGCCAGCAGGCTGAAACACGTCGCATCTCGCTTGCCCCAAACGATTGAGCGGTCGGGGTATATACAATAATTTCTTCCCATGCTTCACCTTCCCCATGATTACGTCTCCATCAGCTATCCATTGCTTAAATAATAATCTCGACGTATACGAAAAAATGGCCCGTTCCCCCAGTTGAGCGAGACACGCCAAAAATGGCACTTCCCTTTACCCAAAGGGTGAACCGAAAATTATCTAAAACACTGAGTAACGGACAGACTGACTGACATACAAAGATTACTCGATTACTATTATATATGACATGGAAATCAAAATGAATACAAAAATAACCAATTGCAATATATAATTGTTCATATTAAAATATGTATGAACGAATGTACAATTTTGTTTAAAAATGAATACGGCGTCCTCTTTCCAGTGGGGTCCTAAGAACACTGGTAGCCTGCTCCTCTATTAATCCACCCACGAAGATGGCCGCCGCGTCCTTGGGGACTGCGCCAGATGCAACGCACTGCGCGAGCGCGCCCTCCACGCCGCAACGGGAACGAAAAAATCAAACAAATGCGCAGCTTTTTGCTGGGGGAGCCCTCGTCAGACGCCTCGCGAGCTGGGAACCGTCTCCTTTCCTCTCGTGAACCAACGGAGAGATTCTACATTTAGAATTTCCGATTGAAAATTGAGTTGAAAAGCCATGAGATTGCACATTTTTTAACCAATTTTACATATATTCTTTCTGTTCTCAGATAGAAAATTGTTTATACACATTTGTCATAAAAAAATAATCTTGGGATTAATCACAGTAACGTCCTTTTAATCGGCGATCTGTGTTAGCGATTTACATCAATACTCCTTGAAACTCTTTCTGTATTTACTTTCTTCTAACACACGTAAAATGAAACATATATATATATATATATATATATATATATATATATATATATATATGTATATAAATATATAAATATATATAAACACCAACAATTCGCGAGTTAACTCTACAAGTCTCTTTATCCATATCACACCATGCCAACCAAAAATTATTTCAGAACTTACCCAAAACATTACAGAGGTATAGAAAAATACCATTTTAACGAGAATGAAATTTCACTGACATGAAATTCCTGGCTTATATGCTTACCTTCGGGAAGTGCCGATCCAACAACTGAGCAGCGTGCAACAAATGAGAACGTGTGCGTATTCAGGGATTAAATGACTGGTACAAGTAACATTTGTGGCAATTTTACGAAGACGAAAAAAATCTACGGTAGAAATACAGAGGATATGTGTTATGTTTAACACTGAAGTCACGAAATACATAATAAAGGGGAAAATACAAGCCTATTTGGGGCAACATATAATACTAAAAACATTTCAGCGAATAAATGCACAATGACGTTCAATGATGAAAGGTGCCGCACAAAGAAGTGAATAGGTTTGGAAAGGTAGTAGAGAGTCGTTTACCAGAGGAACAAGGAGAAAAATGAGAACAAATGACTTTCGACGAAGCGAGAGAGGAAGAGACGTAAGAAATGAAAACGAAGAACATTGACTAGGAATTCTTTCTACTGAACCACATTTATACGAAAATTTAAAACGAAAAGCTACGGTCTTGTAATCTTTCTAATTCACGGTTTTGTAAATCAGATAGGTTCAGAAAAACGCTAGCAGAACCCACATAAACAAACCTTTACACCAACACCACTAGTTTTAAGTAGTTTTCATTAAATGTTTCTAGAACTAACAAATGCAGCATCTTCAGAAAAAAGAAACTAAGATGGCTTTAAATTCTGGACCAGACCACTTAATGAACCACCAAATTCTCGGAGGTGTTCCAATTTAATGCGTCCACGCGTTTTGGTCGTTTGCGTCTTGTTAATTCCAGGCTTCTCATGTGCACGAGCTTTCCGATTCGAGCGCGCGCGCGTTTCTCGTGTGGGGCGAGAGCCCGAGCGCAAGCCGCCACCGCGAGGGCGCGCAGAAATTATCGCGAGAGGACGCGTGACACACGCAGCGCTCGCCGCCTTCGTGGGCCCGGGGGCCGCGCGGCCTGCGACACGCAAAGGCCAAGGGGTCGCGGCCAGGCAGACGCAGCTTCGTTTCTGTAGGGGAAGTGTAGGGTGCGTTCGAGAGAGAGGAGGGAGAGGGAGAGAGAGGGAGGGGGAGAGAGAAGGAGGGAGGGAGGGAGGAGAGAGAGGACGGAGGACGGGAGGGAGAGAGAGAGAGGAGGTGGAAGAGAGAGAAGAGAAGGAGGGGGGAGGAGAGAGAAAAAGGAGGAGGGGGAGGGAGAGAGAGAGAGGAGAGGAGAGAGAGAGAGGGGAGGAAGGATGAGAGAGAGAGGGAGGGAGAGAGAGAGAGAGAGATGAGGGAGAGAGATAATGAGGAGGGAGAGAGATAATGAGGAGGGAGAGAGATAATGAGGAGGGAGAGAGAGCGATGTTGCTTTTCTGCTGGAACTGTGACAACCGGGGCGAACTTACACTATCTCCTACAGTACGCACGTATTAGTAGGATATTTGTTGGCATTCGCCAGCCCCTCTTCGAACAGGAAACTTCTATGGGTTTTTTACTGTCAGGTTTGGACTCTCCCCCGTGCAAGGGCGGGGATGGGGAGACTGGGTGGAGTAGACGGCTTATTTTGTTCAAGGAAGGACGGTTATTTTGTTACGGTTTTTGGGTGGAGGAAGGGGAGGGGAGAGGCTAGGGTAAGAGAGAGAGAGAGAGAGAGAGAGAGAGAGAGAGAGAGAGAGAGAGTAGGGAACGACAGGGAGATCTAGTGAATTTTCTCGATATTTTAATAGTTGTTCTGGTATTCGGGGCGGAGATGAACCCAACATCTCAGAGATAATTAAAATTGGCCCAGCCATTCTTGAGGTATAAATGCTGTAACTAACGCGATTTTGTACTACATATATTAAACATAACTTGAGCATGCAGTGCTCCTAGACTCATTAAAACTAAAGGTACTCCTCAGCATTTGCCTTTAACGGCCGACCGGGCAAAACAAAGGAAGTGTGTAAACTCTTTAACATTATATCTCATAATTCACAACAGTGAGGGCGGAGAGCGGTGGAGTTGCTGGTTTCATTTGCCACCCGAAGCGACTCGTGCAAAGGCGCGTTGGGAGTGCGGGCGGACGTACCTGCGAGAAGTCTGCGTCGGCGGCCGCTGCGGAGGCGTTGAGGGCGTCGCGGCACGCGAGCTGGTCCTTGCAGCGCTTGTGCAGGGCGTCGACGCGCGCGCGCAGGGCCCGCAGTTCTGCGCACACGGAAGCACTCCAGCTCATTGGCGTCCTCTCTGCCGGGCGCGGCAACTGCTAAGGCCGCTTGGGAACTGTTAGTGTGGTGAGTGAAGCCTTTTTATGCCTGAGGGTAGCGGTGCACTTCCCCTGCTGGATGGCGAGATCCGGCGCCGACCTACCGTCGTGTTGAGGGGTTTTCCCCCCAACAAGGTATTTCCCACCAGGGGGCCACCGCCCCAGGCGGAACAAGCTCTAAGCGCCCGACCGGTCTCTCGGCATGTGTGGTAGTGTACTGCATGTAAGTGAAAGTGTGTCTGTGGCCTGTTTGTTAAGATACTGCTCCGGTATTCGCCTGATGATCGGAGAAACTATGGTAACTACTTATCACAGAACTGGCGTAAGAATTCTCCTCCAGACAGCGGCTGAATTATCCCTAGCTATGTAGTTAGTGTTGAAAATTTGCCAGGACTGAGTCGAGAATGAATCCTGGGACCTTCCGGTCAGCACACACGGACAAACGCACTATCAACACTTAGCCGCTAGTGAATGCCATGCCCTCGGGCTTGTAACCAACGAAACAGCTAATGCGATCAATTAATGTTTCTTTTATTGCAGATGAAAATCATGTTTGGTTATGACCTTATACAGTTTATATTCCCCTCTCTTGTGTTTAACTCGTCGTTCCTGTGATGAACATCTGCCGCTTGACGGAATTACATGACAAACCAAAGTTTTAATGAGATTGAACTGTTTGAACATTTTAAATGAAAAAAAAAATACATTTAGTCTAATTAAATCGCGAATACAATAGATCCAGATCTTCACTTCTGTTCTAGAGAAAAATTATATAACATCTGATTAAAAATTGTGAAGAGTTCATCAATTTGGTCTTGAATACTCGTTTTAAATGTTTTCACCGCAAAAGCTTGTCAAGACACTGCTACATATATTTTCTATTAAATTATTATTATATTGTGTAACGATTGATTTAAAAACTAATAGTAAAAAGTAATACCGTTTGATGCATATTCGTAAAAAAATGACAAATATCAAATATAATTGATTTATACACATCTTCCGATCATATACTAAGTGGTAATTCGTAAATAACGATACTCCATATATAGAACTTCTTTGAGACTCAATGAATCGTATTAATTTAGAGTTTAAAATATAATGACTTATCGAAACTGTAACCATTTGATAGCTTGCCATTTATTTATATAGTTTCGTGAATCTATGCTTCTCTTCTCACAACTCAAGTAACTTAAACGTACCTTTGTCAAGATCTCGAGCAGCTTCGTGAGCGTCGTGGGTGAGATTGTGAAGCATGTGCAGATCTTGCTGTGCACTGTCCAACATCGAAGTAAGGTTCGCCACTTTGTCGAGAACAGTGGCGTTCGAGACGGTTTTCAATCCTGCTATCATAAGCTGACCAGTACCTAAAAGGAAGATTGAATGTAAAGTACGTAGGCATGTAAAGGCATGTTTACACACACAGTACAGACGTTACGAAGTAAAATATCACGCACTCCCATCACGAAAAATAGAAAGAAATTGAAAAAATGAAAACAAACAAACAAAACAACATTGAGATAAAGTGTCGGTGCAACTAAATTATACTGTAAATATAAGTTTTCATTCCGAATTTTTTAAACATTAGACTTCACAATTCCGTTTTGGCAGCTCAACACTGAACACTTTTCAAATCGTGGAACCAAGAAATTACAGCATTCTACTAATTGCCGAGGTCAAGTTGTCTTTGTTCCAGAACGTGACTCGCTAACTTTTGTACCTCCCTGTCAATTGTGCCCACTGCAGTTTTCGCGGTCTGATGAGAAAATAACAATGAAGTTACCAGAGTAGAAGGAGAGAACTCAACGGAGCGACAAAATTACATGAAAGGGTAGCGCTTAAATTATTCCTATAATTTATTCTCATATTTAGGTAGAAATGCGAACGTGCTCATAAGGTGAGATAAAGAACTACTACTATCTGCGCTGAATGAGCGCAAGATAATTAAAAATAAATATACTAAGCTCCATCAAGTTCAGGATAAATTGAAGTTAAGTTTCGCATTATATTATTTTCCTACGGTCTCATTTACACATCAGTTTCACAATACTAATTCAGAACCTTGCATTCTACGACCCACGCACTTTCGACGACCAAATTGCTACTTACTGTTCAACGAATGCTCCAAGTTGTCACGCAGCTCATGAAAGTTGGTGACTAGAAGGTGGCTCATATGGCGTCGAGTATTATTGAGGTAAAGTCGTGCGTCCATTGTGGCTACACGTAGTCTGCCTGGCAGTGCATCGGAGCCTTCTTGCATGTACTCATTTGTGACGAAGGCGCAGACCACTCCAAATCTGTAAATGTGCAAATGCTGACCATCAGCAGAAGTCGAAATTCAAGTTCTCTTTTTTATGAAATGTGGTAAAGGCATCAATACTGTCTACGTAGTGGACATTTGAATAACAAATTTTGAAAAAGAAGAATTTGGAGGCTTCACTCACACTTTAGGATGTGAAGCACCTCATTGAGGAGAGGAATAAAACAAATATGATTTCTTCGTTTCTTCTTCATTATTATTATATTACTTAAGAATAAGCTGAAAAAGCTTATTAATATTGGTTTTGCAATATGAAAATAGACGTATAACGTGAACCGATAATTTTCTAGACTAAATATGTCTAAAAAAATCAAACAGGGGACGGAATAGCGATTGACCATTCGTGAATCAAGAATCTTACAATTTCCAAAATTTTCCAGTTTTCAAGTGGCCATTACTGGGACAATGCGGGGCTTGGAAAGAAATTCATATAAAATATAACAAGTTGGAAAACTAGTCATTTTAAGCTATGGATCCATTCAGAGAGTGGTAGGGTAATAGCCCACTAAGTTACACGTAACGAATTAAGTGCAGTGGCCCAATAATGTTCAGGAAACTATGCTAATGTTCTTAACTATCGACACTACCCGACCGAACATTACTCTTACCCAACTGAAAACTATTGTTAATACACGGCTGTATTTGTTTTGGCTGCATCCTCCTCTGTGGCCAATGTAACGGCCGAACGCATCGGCCCACGTAACCACAATGTGAGTAAAATGGCATTCTTGAGGCACTACGTGTGTTCATGGAAACACACTGAAAAAGTGTTTTGTGGCAAGGTACTTCTTGGTTCAGTTCAATCAAACTACTGTATCATCGTTTTAGTTTCTGAAATAAATACTATTTAAACAAAGGTAAGGCGAAAAAGGAGTTGTTGAATTGTCAATGCTAGCATTTCAGCAACTTCAAAGAACCGCAATAACATTGTTTAAAAGAGAACTTCGCCGTGAAATTCAGTGCTGACGCTAGTAAATACCGCCCACACGTCCCAGAAAAGCACTTTGGCAACAAAAGCTCTCTGTGCTTGAATGCCGCGGTGCCAATAAATGCCCGCGGGAGGAATATATTTGCTGCTTTCTATATAACGAGTTACGTGCCAAATGGATGAACGTGTATTTGTCACCCTTTACGACAAGAATCGTGGGCAATGCATACCATAGCGTTTGACCTACACATCGATGCAGAAATATCTAGAACTATACATGCGCATTTCCATCCACTCGTTGATTGGTTAGAGATTCCTGGCGCGTCACCACACTGGTCCCGTAAGTGTAGTCCCGACGGGAGAAGCTCTAAGCTCCCGACAAGTGTGATAGTGTACTACATGTGACTAAGTGTGTGTAAAGTAAGGGGTGATCAGAAGACAAGGAAGAGAAAGGAAAGTTTGCTAGGGTACTACTCCAGCATTCGCCTGGTGTTGATCAGAGAAATCACGTAAAACTCCCGATCAGAGTATCCGGGCGCTAGAATCCTCAGCCAGGTAGCGGCTGAATTCGACAGAGCTATGAAGTTAGCTTCAAATATCCTGCCACCGTCGGGACTCGAACCCTCGGACCTCCCTGTCAGAAGTTCTGCAGTGGTATCAGATGAGGTCAGGAGGCCCCCTTGCCGACCCATCCATTCGTTTTACCTCTACTGAATTCCAATGGAAGACGCGCGCGGTCTGTGTTCGTGAATTCGGCACGTTAGTCATTCTCTCTCCAATCCACCCAATACGAATGAATGTGTTATTTCTGACATTTCAGTGCGTCAATAATTATAATCGCATATCAAATCGTTGATGTATTACGATAATAAGCGTATTTTTCTTAGAATTTTCGCATGAGTAATATACAAGTATAACATGCTAACTATAGTTGGTATATTGGCTCTTTTTCAGTGAATGAAAGTTTATTGACAGCTTTTCCCTTGACAAAAATAGCAACAATAGTAATAATAATAATAATAATAATAATAATAATAATAATTGAAGAAAAAGAAGAAGAATTCGGTTCTTCTTCGTATTTTGACTTTTAACTTTTGAAAAGCGGCCTCTCTGGTCGACGAGGTTTCTTAAAGCAGTCAGTCCATTGCTTCATTCACGCAAATTAAAATGTCCTTGTCCAAGGTTCTACGGCGTCTGCTTAATGCTTCACGATTCTTTGTTTAGAAACCAATTTCCAAATCATAAATCTAATTCATAATTTATCTCTTATCAAGGCACAAGTTTTCTTTATGTAATATGAATCATGTTTTATTTTAAAGCACACAAAATCACAAGATATAGTTGTCGTCGAGATTACGAATATCAGCTGATTTCTCCTGGTAATGATCTTGAAGCCAATCGCATATTTACACGAGATAAATCATATCACGAATTCTCAAACGCTTACGAGTTCTGTCCACATATACAATTACGCGTTTGCAATGTAGGTAAGCGTCAACGCCAAGGCCAATATGGCAGGCTCCGACGTGGGACAGCGGCGCGATGTTTCTGTCGTGTGACTGCAATAATTCAGCGAAGCGAATTCCTTGTTGTAAATTATCATTAACAGTTAATACAAAATAATGTAATCGATGAAAGTTTGTTAAAAATGAGTTACTACCTATGCACAGAAAACAAACTCAGATGGTACAAATATTGGTAATTTTATAATCAATTTCAGTAAAGAAAAAATAATCTCTGGCCTTAAAATCACGAACCTCCAACTTTTCACGGAAGCGATTAAATACAAATGGAAAAGCTTGAGAATAGTTATGTTGGTGTTTAATACATTTGTTTAGGTAGATTTTGGACATTTCATATCCTTATTATAGAGATTGTTTGATATTATCCTAGTTCACTTTGAAATCTAATTTGAAGGGTATATTAAACTTAATATAATGTTTATTTCTTTAATGGTACACAATGCATCGTAGCTGCAGCTGACTAGCATAGCGTAGCGTATTTACGAATTTAGGAACTTAAAACTATCGATCAATTGAACAGTGAATAGTGGAACCTGGTTGTTTCGGATTTGAGAAACAAAACAAAAACAAAATATCGTTAGCAGATAATTCCGAATATGGTTATAGGGGAGGTAGAAAGTTAAATAAAATATAGAGATATGAAAAACTCGAGCCATCGGCGTCTCGACCCATCGGCCACCGACGTCTCGAGCCACCGACGTCTCGACCCATCGGCGTCTCGACCCATCGGCGTCTCGACCCATCGGCGTCTCGACCCATCGGCGTCTCGAGCCACCGACGTCTCGAGCCGTGTTATTTTCACGTTCCGCCTCGCTCCCGAGCGCCGGCAGGCAGGCATGCACTCACAGCATGGCGGTGGCGGCGGCGGCAAGCGCCAGGCCGAGGGCGGCGCGCCGGCAGGCGGCGCGGCGCTTGGCGCGGCGGCTGGCAGGCGGGGGCGGCGGGCGGCGCCGGCAGCAGCAGCAGCGCGCGCAGCAGAAGAGCAGGCCGGCGAGCGGCAGCAGCGCGGCGAAGAGCAGCGTGGCCGCCGCCACCGCCACGGGCGACGCGTAGTGCGCGAGCACCCGCCCGCCCACCTCCTCGGGCGGGCCCTGCACCAGCAGCGCGCCGCTCGGCGTCACCTGCAGCACGTCTGCCAACACACCAAAAAAATGTATTCAATTCAATACTGAAAAGTGCATTCGCATAGCAGTAACATAGCCACTGGGAGGAGATACGTGGAGAGCACAGGCGCTTTTTTGATAACGGAAAATATTCATTTTGGATAATTGTAATAACCACCCAAGCCGTGCAGACATACAGGACTAGTGTATTTTAATTGAATGATAGATGCGCTATTTTATTTCCGGATTTTAATGCTAAATTATTTAGCCAACAGCTGGAGTTATCAGTCCTATAGATGTAGTCGATGCCCCCGCTCGATCTTGATATCCAGTGCCGACGTACACGTCGGCTTGCGTGGATGCCTCTTCATGAACCTCAGCAAGCGGAGCACCACCAGACCCGGGACATGTTCTAAGCCCCCGACATATGTGGAGGTATAGTGCATATAAGAAGGAAGGGTGAAGGACATGTTGCGCACAGTCCCTGGCCTTTTGTTAAGGTCGTCAGAACAAGAACGTCATCCGTTCACAGACGATATTCACATTTCGCATTTTTTCTTTAATCCATTTTTTAATTACCGTCATGTGTTTTACGAGAGTGGTCAACGTCCACAGGACAGGCAAGTCAATACAAATATTTTTATAGGTCATTACCTTTATTTTAGGTAAAACGATATCTTCCCCTCTTATAGATCTTACATATACACGTTCACTTTTCCATTAGGGGTTTGTATCTACCCAACATTGCAACATTGCATCATTGTTCAATCATCAATGATTGAACGTTAGCGTGGGTCATAAGTGTCGGTAAAGTACGGCATACAAATCAACAGTGCACATAACCATTGCTGTCCGCCATGGCAACATTTTCTCCTGTTATACAACTTCAATTACACACAAGCAATATGGATTCTACTAATTATTAAAGACACAGGTTAAGACAAACATTGCAATGATTTTGTACTCATACAACAGCAATACTGAATGATATTGTTCACCCGAATCGCATCTCAAAATGTGGCGTCTGAGTCTGGAAATAAACAACCGTGTTAGAGTAAATGTCACAAACGTCTCGTGCTCCAGAGGGATCTGTCTTCAGTCAATGAACAATCTTCGTTGCATACATGACGTTTCTCCCTGATTGTTACGCGACACAGGAGGTTTTGTGTTGCGCATTTAACTTCTGGCGTAGTCAAAGTGATTCCATGTACCCGTCGAACACTTGTGTATGAGAAGTTGCCTATCAAGAAGGGGCAAATATTACATGAAATTTCCTACTTCATGTGAAAAAAAGTCATTATTTTCTTCCCCTCTCTACGACCTAGAAGATAATTGCATTTATTCTGAGACACACTGTAGAATAAATTCAATTGATTGATTAGCGTTTTCGCGCCAACTGCTAAAGTGATTAGCCTCATAAGTATAGTGCATATTTTTATCGTGAGGTAGCGAAGATCTTCCGCCACTGATTGGCGAGATCCGGCGCCGACGTACTCGAAGGTTTGCGAGGTTTTCCCCAACCAGATATCTCCCAACAGAAGGGTACCGTCTCAGGCGGGATAAGCTCTAAGCTCCCGGCTGGTCTCTAGGCATGTGTGGCTATGTAGTGCACGTAAGTGTATACGTTGTAAAGATAACACAATGAAGGGGAATGAAAGATCGGTCACGGTCTGTGGCCCGTTTGTTAGGGTATTGCTCCGGCATTCGACTGATGTTAATCGGAGAAACCATGGGAATCTACCAATCGGATCAGCCAGACGTCGGGGTTCTCCTCCTAACAACAACTGAACTCGACCTAGTGTGCATTCAAGCCAAGGACACAGTCTCAAATGGTTCAATCATCGGTCAATGCCCGCGGACAGAAGAAAAAAACGACAGCTGAACCTGTGTAAAAGCCTACCCCACATCAAATTGGGATAAAACGTTTTATAAGCGCTTTCTAGTATTTTATATCCACACACAAGTTACTACCATTATTCTATCGTTTCTTAGAATGAGGGACAAGGTGATTGAACCGTTGAAGAATTACGTAATGGCAACAAACAAATTTATCATAATACATCAAAAAAAAGTTCAGCAAATTTATAAAAAAAGAAATGTTTAATCGATTTAGGTTTTAGTGTAATCCATTCACATCAAATTCCAGAAACCATAGAAAGCTCTTTCTCAATTACAAAATGTGGGAAATTGATTTTGAATGTTTCGTGTGTCTGAGGTGTCCACTTCGTTCATGTGCTTTTTTAAATGATTTTCTTTCATGTTCGTTTTTAGAAATGGGTGATGATCGAATCTCAATGCTCCAGAAAACTTTTTTAGGGGAAAGAGAGATTAGAGAAAGTTTAACGAAGGATTGAAAAACACTTTGATTAGCAGCAAAGAAGTAGTGGGGAAACTCCAGATGAAACTTCAGCACATGGTCGAACCGGGAATCGAATCTGGGTCTCGCAAGTACGAGTTTACTGCTGACAACTTACCAAACTAGTTCGGAAATTAGTGCGTTCCAAACAAACTCTATGAACAGCAAGGTACATTTTGCATAGTTTCACTTCTATAAATAAAAGAGACATTCTAGAACAGGGGGTGTCCAACTTGCACGGCCTCGAGAGCCACAACTAAAACCTTTATAATAGTTGCCGGCCATATTTTCATTACTTGGGCGATCCACACCTGATCGATCCTCACCGTATTGTCGACCACCGCACTTTGCCCGCCTGCTCTCAAACGGGAGGGGGTATGGAACCATGCGTGATATCAGACCATACCATGCATGAAGCAGTGAAGCACATTGAGATGATTTTGAATTTCTGAATTTACTAGAAAGAATCTTAAATCTAAACTTGAAACTATTTTCACACTATGTGGGTGTGGACCACGACAGGGCGCGTGCGCTAGGCGTGCTATGTTCTTCTTCCTCGATATGGATGCAAGGAACTAACTTTTAATTAAAAACCTTTCGCGGGCAACATTTAAGTGTCCCGTGGGCCGCAAGCGACCTGCCGGCCGCCAGTTGGACACCCATGTTCTAGAGGAGGATGAGAGCGAATACTTTCCTGAGCGACTAAAACTTAAGTGAATTATTGACACACGGAAATAAAATTAACTTACACGACGATGGCGTTTAGAAATGCATCTGATATGCTCCAATTAGCGCGGAATATCTCAAAACATTATCGCCCTTTCTTCGATTGCTTTTGCACTTCTCTTTATTGGACAATCGTAAGTTGCAATTCATCGTGGGAGATGTAGCAGACTCTTAGGGTTGAACTGACGAGATATTAAACGGCGTAGAGTGAAACATTAATAGAATTATTATTTGATGCACTCTGCACGTTCTGTTGGGCAATTTCATTCGTGGAATAGTCATACGTAATACCAAGTGTGCACACTTCCAGATACATTTTTAAAGCATTCGTGGTTTTACCGTAATTTTTCCGGTATATGTGTCAACAGTTTGATATCCAAACACAGAAAAGGTGCAGAGTCCACCTTTTTTAACTATCATTTATATTAATCAGAGCAGAAGCGAAATGCTGCACGAACAAAAATTAAATTAACAGATAGATTAACAAATGGATGGATGGATGCATGCATGATTTGCAAGATATATCGCCAAACCGATTTTAGTTTTTTAACGAAGTACTAGAAACAAATTATTTCCTTTACTCTCAACTGTAAATTAATTAACACGAGATTTTTGCCTAAACCATGTAGTTATGATTACATTGTACGAAATTAGTAAATGAGATAACTTTAAAAAATCCACCGTTGTACGTTGCTTTTACATTTTAGGAAAGTTTCATCGATGCGTGTGACATCAATGCATTTAGAATCCATAAAAAGTGCGATTATTCTGGTAGATAAATGCATATTGGAAACATTACTTTGTGAAGTCCAGCTACTTTTCCAGTTTGATGATGCACAAGTTCAAAGTATTTTAGTTTAACAAATGAATCTTGAATTTTTCGAATAAATTCTATAGTGATAATTCGCAAATAATTTTAATTATGGTATTTTCCCCATTTGAATAGATCTAAAACAATCTCATAATTTACACGAAAATATAGATTGTGAGGCTGTTTAAAAAAAAAAAATTAAATACCATTTCAGTATTTCGAACACATTAAAATTAAACAGTATGGAACTGCCAAACATAGAAATTACTAGACTAAAATAGCTATACTAATTAGTCGCGCTACATACTTTCACACATTAGCAACATCACAAAGAAAAATATTTCGAGCAGTTTTTGTAAAAAGGAATTATATTGCTTTTACTTCAAGCAAACATTACGCGAAAAATATTATTACAAACAACTGTACCTAGCCTTACTTAAATGTCTATTTTATAAGAACTGATTTAAGAAAATTAAGGGGGGAAATTATTTACCATATTGTAGTTTTAGGAAGACGTCGTAAAAATTATGATATTGACAATTTACGCAAATTCAGAGCTCAATGAAACTGACATCTGCGCCATTTTTAGGCGTTCTTTACTCTATCCGCGGGGGAAAACAAAAATTTATGCCACTTTCGAGAAAATTTCAAAACTGCTGAGGTTTAATATAAAGTACCCCCAAAAACAAATATTCAAAGCAAATTCGCAGGGCCTCGAATTCGTCCACATCGATTGCGGGATATCAGTTTTGACAAGAAAATCGTTTGAACGGTTTAGGCGATAGCGTCATTCACACTTATGGACAGATAGATTTGTGATAAACCAATTTTTCAGTTCAAAAACCCACTAACCGTGTATTCTAGCTACACAAGGTGCTAGAGGAAGTAATTTACTTCACATAGGAACACGATTTACCCACTTTTTTGATATCAGGACTCGACAATACGAGTTTGTTTTTTTGGGGGAAGAAAAATCGCCACTTTCCGCAGCAGCATTACAATATTTTATCTTTATAACGTAAGCACGTTGTGGGCGAGAAAGCAAAAACATGTAAGCTCTTATCAGCAAAGTTTCATGCATCGTATATATTGTGTATTGCTTGTCAATAGAGAACGGCGTTGGCTTATCAAATG